CTTATCCTGTGCACATAAATGGAAGAGTTAAATATTTGTGACTATGAAATGGTTTTGGAATATTTTTCTCCTTTGATATGAATCTGATATGATATAAATTAGTTTTAGATTATTTTCCTATATGATATGAATATGTGGACAGTGGGCTTGAATTGTTGGGATTATTTTGCTTCTTTCTGGCCTTATCCTGTTGTATGTATTAGATGTTCTTCTATGATATGGCACATCTTAAATTAACTCTTGTTTATTTCACAGTGAAAATACTTGTGGAAATATTTTATAAAAGAAAATCTCTTGAGGATGTGGAAAACGATGATGTGGAGATGTCAAATGGAGACGATCTTTATGTTGCACAACTTCCTATTGATTTTGATAATGAAGTAATTGTACAAAGATATCAATGCATAACAACTAGTAAAGAACAATGATAAGTTATTTTATTTTTAGTATAATGTTTGTGTTATAATGTTATTATTTTTTCACTTTTATTAATATCGCTTTCTTTGAAAATTCTTTTCTAGGTCCGCCCCTGTTTCCCATCATTTCTTGTTTAATTTTGGAGGCCTTCAATTTCTAGAATTCATAAAATGATAAATCGTTATAGCTTATTTGCTGGGTTTTTTTCCTTTTTATCATTTCCTTATTGTTTCTGACAAGTTGAGTTGCCTGTTAGACTTGAGATTTTACTTAGCCCCCATTTGGCCCGTATTTTTTGAAATGAAAATGTTTGAATAATGTTTTTTTTTTTTTAAATGAGTGGTTGAAAAAGAGGAAAAAGTTTTTGATTTATGAGAGATTATATGGTTGAAAATAAAATAAAGAAATGAAATGGAATTTAATGAGGGCCAAACGAAGGCATAGTGATGTTTGGCCGTGCAGCCTCTAATTTCAAATACAGAGAGTACTTTTTTTTTTTTTTTTTTTTGGAAAATGGGCCTCTCCATTAATGGTGAGTCCAATGCAAATAAATAAATAATAATAATAATAATAATAATAATAATATTTACTAGCCGGCAATGCTAAGCCACTAAATTTTTTGGCTTGCCGGCATCCTAAATATAGGGTTTGTGCCAGGCTCTACAGTTCTACAAAAAGTCTGACCCAAACACCTGCTTATTCAAGAACCATATTAAGGATCCGTTTGATTCTCATTTAGTAATTTTTTTCCAAAGTACATTTTTTTCTCTCTTCTTTTTAACCATATATTATTCATCTAAATAATATTACGTGTAACTAAAAAAAGGTTTTCTTATTTTTCATTTACACATTCTCCATCAATCTACTATTAAAAAGTAGGAAAAAGTTTTGAGTTTATGTGTAAAAAATTTTATTGTGTGAATGTGCAGTTGAAAATGAGTACATAAAAAAAGAGTTTAAAAATGATTGGAGCCAAACATGGCTTATTCGAAGAAAATGAAGAATAGTCTTCTGTACTCCTAATCAATCTGAACTGTAGCAGTTTGGTTCTAGATGCACAGTATTTACAAGCTATATTGACGGAGATTTAGAGAACTAAAGGCAAATAAATAGAAAGTATGTAGAAAACAAGAAGAATGCAGAGAAAAATACTGATTTTATTGTGCATTTATTCCAGAAATGTGAATGCCTATTTATAGGCTTACATACAAACTAAAAAGAGCTAAAAAAATCCTCAACTAACATCTAATTTATTGCCACTAATGTATACTGACTTTGACTGACTCAAAACCAGAAAAAAACGGAGCAAATACTTGAAATTAAACCATTATTTCTGACTCTTTCAAACTGGACTAAACTGAAAATTAACATGACAATTTTGAATTAACCTTCAACACTCCCCCTTGATTCAAAATTGCAAACTCCAAGTTGATTCCTAAAATAATTCGTGATGGAGTGATTTTGTTAGAATATCAACTATCTGCTCATTTGTGTTGCAATAATGTAGAGTGATACGCCATTTTGCTACAAGCTCTCGAATGAAGTGAACTATAATATCTATATGCTTCGTTCTTCCATGGGAAGCTGGATTCTTGGACATGGCAGTTACTGCTTTGTTGTCGCAATAGATTTCAGTTCCTCCTTTTTGTTCCTGATCAAGGTCTGCAAGTAGTCTTTGTAACCATACAGCTTGACATGCTGATGAAGTTACAGCTGCATATTCAGCTTCGAATGAAGATAAAGCTGTTGTTCCTTGTTTTTTTGAACTCCAAGATATGGCTCCTGATCCCAAGCTGAAAACATAACCTAAAGTGCTTTTTCTATCTTCCAAACAACCTGCCCAATCACCATCAGTAAATCTAAACAACTTGAAATCTGAAACATGACAATACCATAACCCAAAGTCTACTGTTCCAGCAATGTAGCGCAAGACCCTGTTTGCAGCTCCAAGATGATGCTTTGAAGGACAATGCATGAAATTAGAAATCACTCCAACTGAAAATGTTATGTCAAGGCTGGTATGAGTTAAGTATATCAAGCCACCAACCAAGCTTCTAAAATAACTTGAAGTTGCTTGTTCGGTACCATCATTCAGCTTCAATCTTTCATTCAAATTCAAAGGTGTTGCTGCAACTTTGCAATTCAACATGTTGAATCTTTTAAGAAGATCAGTTGCATATTTCCTTTGTGAAACAAAAACTCCATCTTCAACTTCTAGGCCAAGGAAATGGCACAAAAAACCTAAATCTAACATTTTAAATTTGTTCTTCATACACGCTTTAAATCATCGATAAGAGAAGAAGAAGAACCCATGTAAATTATGTCATCAACATAAAGACAAACAATTAGAAGATCATTTTTACAATGTCTCTTTAAATAAAGTGTAGGCTCACTTTTGCTTCTTTCAAATCCATTTTGATGAAAGTAAGAATCTATCTTACTGTACCATGCCCGTGGAAACTGCTTTAGACCATAGAGGGCTTTTTTCAATCTATAGACCTTATCTTCCTTTCTCGGAATGACAAAGCCTTCTGGTTGAGAGACATAAACTTCTTCCTCCAATTCTCCATTTAAAAATGCAGACTTCACATTGAATTGAAAAACAGGCCATCTTAATTGTGCTGCCAAGGCTAAAAAGGTTCTCACTGTTTCAAATCGGGCAACAGACAAAAATGTGTCATCGTAATCAATACCTTGTTGTTGGGAATACCCCTTTGTCACGAGCCGAGCCCTGTGCTTTTCTATTTTTCTGTTTGAATGGTATTTTGTTCTGTAAACCCATTTTACTCCAATAGCATTTTTACCTACAGGTAGGTCCACCAATTCCCATGTCTCATTTTTCTTAATTACCTCAAGCTCTTCTTTCATTGCGCTACACATTCTTCTTTATTTGCTGCTTCTTTAAAGTTGGTAGGATCTGAAAAGATCAAAGCTTGAGTTGTTGAATAAATTTCCCTTAATGACCTGAATTTCCTTGAGGAGACTCATCTGAAGAAACTTGTGTGGAAGATAAGCTGCTATTACTTGAAGAGTTGGATGTTGTTGAATTTGAGAGGACTCTGCTTGATGAACTCGGAGGAGTTGGTTCCATTTCTCTAGTTGATGAAGTTTCACTTGTTGGCACTTTGATATTAATAACTTCAATCTTCTCATCAGCAACTTCATCTTTTTCATGCCAATTCCAGCTTGCTTCTTCATCAAATGCAACATTCCTAATCAATCTGAAATGTAGCAGTTTGGTTCTAGATGCGCAGTATTTACAAGCTATATTGACGGAGATTTAGAGAACTAAAGGCGAATAAATAGAAAGTATGCAGAGATCATAGAAGAATGCAGAGAAAAATACTGGTTTTCTTGTGCATTTATTCCAGAAACGTGAATGCCTATTTATAGGCTTACATACAAACTGAAAAGAGCTAAAATCCTCAACAAACATTTAATTTATTGCCACTAATTTATACTGACTTTGACTGACTCAAAACCAGAAAAAAAAAGGGAGCAAATACTTGAAATTAAACCAGTATTTTTGACTCTTTCAAACTGGACTAAACTGAAAATTAACATGACAATTTTGAATTAACCTTCAACATATATTAATAGAGAAGCTAATGGTACTTTTTTTTATGTTTATTTTGTTGCAACCAATTGACTGTTCTTTAACTAAAAGGGGTGCATTTGTTTATTTCGTTTTGGATGTTTTCTAACGATTTCCATAAAACCTTTTCGGCAAAGTATTTAACAATATATATAAACACTTGAGCGCGAACACTTACTGGAATGATTGTTCAAATAGCAACTCTGTGTTATTGTGCAGCCATATTGGAGAAGCTCAAGAATAGTGGAATTTTATCCTTTTCATATTTTATATTATCTTAGTATTTGATTTGATTGGCATAGAAACTTTCATATGCATTTGCAATTTAGATGGATTTAGGATTTATATAAATTGAAGCTGTTAGCATTTTAAATGAATCATATCTAAAAAATAGTTGCTGTTGATATTTGTGTATTCTGTAAGATGCTGTTTTGCTTAAGGACAAAAATTATCACCCATTAATTAATTACTTATTCTAAAATTTCTTACCTAAGCCAGATTAAAAAAGGAAGTCTTACCTAAGCATGTTGAAACTAAACAAGAATGCGAAACGAACAATTTGCTAATGACTTCTCCAGTCTCGTTCAAATTTATTTTTTATTTTTTGAAAACAAGTACCACTTTTGAATAATATCCAGCTTTTGAGTTAGATACTAGAGCACAATTGAGGAAGTGTTTGTAAACTATTTAAATTATAAATATATAGAAATAAGTAATGAATAAGCATATAATATTTGAAAGTATCTCGAAATACATGGATAGAAAGTGACATAAATATTTATCAATAGTTTAAAAATATAGATTGACCAAATATAAGGATATACAAAATAAAAATACCCATATATTTATATATATATAAAGGTAATTTGATATTATAAGGTAATTAAATTTTTTTATCAATTAAATATTTATATTTTTTAATTATAAATTTCATACCTTAAAAACTCAAAAAGCTTGGTCAAACTAGGTTAATACGCTATAAAAAAACCATAACAAAGAGAGAGAAATGGAGAAAGCTGAATCAACATGGCTACCCTGTCTCATCCTACAGTTGACCTTTCTGTTTTTCTCAAAGATGGTGAAGAGGAAGAAAAGAAAAGGGCTAAGGAAATAATCAGCCACGCTTGTTCTGAATACGGCTTCTTTCAGGCTGTAAACCACGAGATACCTCTGGAGCTTATGAGCCGAGCCATGGAGCTAACCAAGATATTTTTTGCGTTGCCGGAGGAGGAGAAGAGAAAGTATAGACCTAAATCCGGCGAGCCAGAGTCGGCAGGTTATGGGAAGATGTCGGCGCACGGTATTGATCTGAATGAGTATATATTGATGCTTCCACCTCAGTCCAGCTCCAATGTTTTGCCAAATGATCCGCCTGAGTTAAGGTATACATTTCCTCCTATAAGTTATAGATGTGATATATTTACAAGTACGTATCCATGGGATTAGATCGACCAGACAGTGTAATTAGCATAAGTTTAGCTTTCTTTCCTCTTCCACCCAACCCCCCTTAATACGATTTATTAATCAATTTATTTTATGGATCAGAAGTCAATGAAAATAGAATGAATGACCAAACTATATCAAGTCTTTTTCTATATTTCCATTTAATAAGCTATAATTTCAATTAGGGATGGATTCAGGATTGGATCCAAAATCGGGCTACAAAATTTCAAACTAGGCTACTACGCGAAAAAAAAAATTACACATAAAAAACTGATTTTTTTTACCAAAAAAAAATAAAAAATATCTTAAAAAAAAGTTCTTGGGCCTGAGTGTGGGGGGCTACAGCCCAGCCCCCCTAAATCCATCTCTGATTTCAATGCTATACTCTTTAAAGTATTCAAATTATATCTAAATTAATTTCTCATTGACATATAAAAAATATGTTAAATAAGAGGAAGAGAAACAATAAATGTTTTATTGAAAAAACAAATGATGTAAAAATAAAAAGCATTGTTGGTGTCAAAATTTATTCTATAAATTTAAAGATGTCATAAACATAAATAGTCTTTATAATTATAGAGTAAAATCATTTCCAAGAGGCTGTTTATTTTTAAAAAGTAAATTAAAAATAATATAGAGTGTCTTTATATATAATTTTTTATGCACTCTAATAAACTCTTTATTTACATTACCAAAAAATCATTTATATGTCTTTTACCTCATTTCTCAATTAATTCAGATTTTTATAGATGTCAATAGTTAAAATATTCATTATAATATAAATAATTTAAGCAGTAGATCATTTAAACTTGCAATTTTATTAAATGCAATATTGATAAAATATGAATTGAGCCAAAATCAATTCTCTATTTTGAAAAGTTAAAGCAAAGAGCAGGTTAGAGCTTAACTCTAAATTTTGATTAGTTAAAATAAAGATCGCCTTAGTTTTAGGAGTAATGATATTCGTGGTCGCTCATTATAGCAATCGCTTTACATGATATACACGTGATAAGTGGTTATTTGATGCATTAATGTGATAGTTTTTTATTGACTCTTGTATCAAATAATCACATGTCATGTGTATGTCAAATATGACGATTGCCGCAGTGAACGATTAGGAATATGTTTTAAGTCTCGTGTTGGGCTCAGGGAATGATTTGCTAGGTTATTGATGCAAAAATTTTAAATGCATAGCAACATTATTTATAAGCTAGATGAATATTACCACCTAATATCTTAAATATATATTGTCAGGCCAGCACTTGAAGAGTTATTCAACTATTTTTGCAAGACTGGTGAACTTGTGGAGAGCATTTTGAATGATTGCTTGGGTCTTCCTCCCGATTTTCTCAAGAAATACAACGATGATAGAAGCTCAGATATTTTGACGACTCGGCGCTACTTCCCAGCATCAGAAAATGACAACATTGGGTTACCTCAACATACAGATGGAAATTTTATCACTTTTGTCTTTCAGGATGAAGTTGGAGGTTTGGAGGTTCTTAAGGATGGAGAATGGACTCCAATTGTTTCGGTTGAAGGCACAATAGTTGTCAATGTCGGCGATGTTATTCAGGTAACTTTTTATTTTTAATTTCATCCATTGTTAAAGATATAGAAATTTTTTTCGACAGTCCAAGATTATCTACTAGTTTGATTATTTAATTATATAGGATATTTCATTTTACGGACATTTAGGGTGTGATTGGTTTCCATTTTCATTTTCAAAACGATTATTAGTTTTCCGCGTTTTAAGCGTCTTCGACACTTATAACTGAAAACGTTAAAAACGATAAAATGTCGTTTTGCGTTTTCAGTTATAAATTTCAACTCGTTTTCGAAAACGACGAACCAAAAGCATTTTCCGCGTTTTCAAAAACGGAAAATGACAAGAAAACGGCAAACCAGCCGCGGCTTTATATTTTATACCCCTCTAAATAAGGTTGTTCTATTTGTAATTTTGAAAAATTGCAGAGTGAATCCCTAACTTATTTCTACATTAGCAAGTTAGTCCTCATCTTGAAAATAAAAAGTTGGTACTAACCTTTCACCTCATTGATGAAAATCGCCCAAATTTTCTTTAAATTGTTCACATGGTTCTTGTGAAGCATGCTTTAATTCAAATTTCTAGACATGTGAGGGCCACATTACAATTAACAAAGAATTGAAGATTTTGTGACTGGGGATGACTTTTGCAACTATAATAAAATATTGATGAATAACTGAAGGTTGGACACCAACTTACTATATTGGAGCGTTAGGTTGGAGACCTCTGGTGCAATTTTTTCTTGTATTATTTAGGCAGAAAGTGTATTAGTTCTAGTTTTAGGTTCAAGTTTCAAATTACATTAAGGCGTCACAAGTTTTTACTCGATGGAAGAACATTATGAAATATTTTCGGATTTCCTCTCCTCCAGGTCTTGACGAACAATAAGTTCAAGAGTGCACCCCATAGAGTTTTGAAACAAAAAGGAAGAAGTCGTCACTCGATTACCTATTTCTATAGCTTGCAAGGAGACAAAAGCGTTGAACCATTACCACATTACACTAAACAAATTGGAGAGCCACCGAAGTATAGAGGATTCATGGTCAAGGATTATCGAGCTTTGAGGATAAGAAACAGAACTCATCCGCCATCCAGACGCGAAGATGTGATTGACATAACTCATTATGCAATTCCTCATAATTAACAAGAATAAACTAGTGGTTACATGAACTCTAGTTATCTTGCAAATGGAATGTGTTCTAGCTTATATACACTCATCGATGTATTATAGAGATTATGTTTAATGATTGCTGGGTATTCCCACTTTGCTTGGATGGCGCCTTTCGCCTTTGATTAGGACTTTTCCGCATTTCATCCCAAATCGGATCTAAGCTAAACAGTGCTTTTCTCTTCCTAAACCCAAAGAGTCAGAGTAAAGCATTCCAATTTCAGGGCTTAGCTTAGGCCCCTTCCTAATCTAATGCCATGCCCAACCAATGCCGAATCCGTCATTTATGTTCTATAATTACAAGATTTATTTGGTGCCTTTTTTATTGAACTTGCCTAAATATTTGTCTCTTCGCAGTTGACTTAAAGCTGAAAAACACTTAATTTGTTTATGAACTCATTGTCTGCAGAAAGAATGTACTATTAATTATCTTGTTGCTGAACATCTTGAAGCAAAAACAAATTATAAGACCATTAAGATTTGTAAGAAATGTAAAGAAGAAAAGTAATGTTTATTTAGCTCTACTGAGGTTACAACTCTAGTCAAGGTGACGTTAAAGTGACATTAAATGATAAGTGAAATTAAATTACTTATTTAATTTCACCTTTTATTTAAACTATCATCTAGTGTCGCCTAAAATGAGATTACAACCTCAATGGGACTACATAGCATTACTCAATGAAAATGATGTTTTTTTATCTTGGTTAGACATTGACCTGGAAAAGATGAAGTTTCAAAGGGTTGAACTCAGGTTGAATCGGAATATATAGAATTTTTACATTTAATAAAAAATGCAATGGATAAATATTTGGTTTATTGATTAGGTTTGGCTCGATTATTTTAGAAGGTCTGTTTTGTTAAAGAGGATAGTCCAAATCATGATATGTTAATTAATTTTCTTATTTTTATTCGATATGGGATTAATCCCTTCATGGATGGAGTCAGGAATATTGTTTAGTACAAGTACAATTTGATCAATGCCAAAATTTGAGTTTTTGGCCATGATGATAAAAATGAATTAGGTAGTCTTAAGCTTTTGTTTTTTTTTTTTTTTTTTTTTTGGACATCTGTAGAACTGAAGCCCCCAATCAATATGAAGATGAATGCATCAAGAATCACAAATTTTCATAAGCAACAACTCTCCATTGAGATTCAAATGATCCACAAAATCGCCTTGCCATGAAATTTTCTGCTTGAACTTATAGATAAATCTTAACAGAATTATTTTCAACTTTTTAACTAAAATAACAAAATTTCTGCGACTTACATAAATTTAATCGTTTTCACCAAATTTATATGTTTAACATAATCATTAATCAATTTCTCGCTTTTTTTTTTTTTTTTTTAACTTCTACATTAGCTAGATTAATTTCTAGCTTCAACTGCCAAACCATAGCCCAAAAAATCAATCTACGTTTCTTTTTTCTTATTTTTCCTCTCTAATTTCCATTGATCATATGGCCAAAAATTCAATATAAAAGACCCATGCAAATTGAAAATACGTACATCTTACTATGCTTTAAGTACGAATAAACCCGTAACAAGACTCCCAACAAAAAAAATATTGAAAATAAAACAAAAGGCAGATTTTTTTCCGAAGTCGACCCTTAAAAAATTAAAATCGAAGACATTTTTATGCAGTATAAATCAAAAGTGTCTTCACAGAATCAATTTAGAACAATTATCAACAAACAAAACACATAAACACAAAACTAAAAAAATGACGAAAACATAAAAAGCTAATATATTAATGATATAGTGTTAAAAGCCCATTTCGTCCGAAGTCCCTAATCAATATAAAGATCGATACGAGAGACAAGAGAGCGAGGCCGAGGAGTGAGGTTCCACACAGAGTTGTAGAGATTCAGAAGCTTAGAGGAGTGAAATATGTGGATTGAAATGTGTGCTTCTCTGCTTGTTTTTCGATTGGGTTTTTCACCAATAGTCCAAAACTTTGAAACAAATAATATGATAGCAATTTGGATTGGGCTCGAAAGTTCTGTGCAGGCATGCTCCTGCATTGGTCTCTATTGGGCTCCGCCCCTAAATCCCTTAACAACTTAGAAGTCGTCGAATCGAATGATCCTTGGAAGTCTTGCCTTTTAGTTCTTTTATTTTAGTTTCCCACATTCGCTCAAATATGAAATGGAAATCCACCCGTGAGAGAAGAAGTCAAATATGACGACTGAAATAGTGAAATAATGGTCAAAAAATTAATTTTTTTGAGGGAAAAATCTCTCCCAAACATGCCCTAAGTATTTTTATGTTATTCCCAATGGTGACTTGCAATCTATAGCAGTTTGTGTAAAGACAAAATTATCAATGGCGCTGCACGTACAGAAGATATATAGTTGATAAAGAATTCCAGATGAGCTATCAAGCAATTTAAAAAAAAAATAAAAATAAATAAATACCACGTCACTGTTGAAAACAAACAAAAACCCTCAACTATGACTTTACTCCCACTTTCTCAAGCCACTTTCCCAAGTAATTCACCCACCGAACTGAAACCCTTAATTCCTGTCTATGTCGTCGGCGCTTTCATCTACGGCTGTCGTCAATCCGTCAAACAACAAATAACCCAACGTCTTTACCTTAGTAATATTATCAAGTGCACAAACCGCAATAAACATGCCGATTTCTTCATTGAACACATACCCACCTCCGGCACCATTGGATCATCTTTTCCTAACGTTTCCTTCTCCACTGATATCATATTGTCCGCAACATTCTCATCAACATCCCTCTCATCACCTATGTCTTCTATGGAACCTCATACTGCAACACAAAAATGGCAACATTCAGCAAAACATAAATGAATTTCAGTCGCATAAGTTATTGAAAATATAATCTCAGCACTTTAACATTGCCCACAAGTAATCAACAACTACGTAAATTCACTCCTTCAGACAAATTACAGAATGCAAATGAAACAACAAAAAAGACCCATTGGGTTTAAATCGCATTACCAAGAGAGCAGACCTTGACAACAACAAATATAACTCTCAAACAAGGTTTTCACAACACAATAGAAGCATATTATGAAAAAACAAAACACAATCTGTCCCTCACTTAGGTTTTCCAGAGTTCGCGTAGACTGGTTTTCACCGTCATCGGAGTTGGACGTTACCATCTTCGCACTCGACGTGCGAGGGTTCCAATATGGGGGAGCGGTTGCTATCGATGTTGCGGGTGAGTGTGTACAGATGAGTTTGTTTCGCCTTAGTCGGCATCGATCTAAGGACTTCAACTCCAATGAGAGATGAGAAATCTCATATCTTGTTTTCGACGGGGAAAAATCTCAGCGGCAGGTGGAGTGGTGTGTTAGATCCCCTTTCAATTTTTCTGTTGGTCATCCAAATCAATTGTTTTGAAAACCAATATGCCACGTCAATTCATTTTTGGTCAATTTTAAATTTTCGTAGCTGTTCTGTGAACCAGCTTCTGTACGAGAAGCTTTATTCAAAATTTATTCACCATAATTATGTCAATGATTGGATTTCTCTCTAGTGTCTATATGAAGTTGATAAGATATAACTCTTGTTTGATCTCCATTTTGAGAGAAAAAAATGAATTTTTAAATAGTGTAATGATAGAAAATATGTGGTTAAATAATAAGGAAAAATTTTGAATTTACGTGTAATATTATTTTATTCAAGAATGTGTGATTAAAATGATATCAAATCACTGTTTAAGAATGTATTTTTTTGAAAAAATGGGACTCAAACAAGGGCATAAATAAGTACTCCATCTTTTTTATTAAGAATATTTTATTTTGTTCGTTTACTAATATATCCTTATTTAATTTATCTAGTTATAATCAATTTTTCCCAAGAAAATCAATTTGTACAGAAATGAGTTTTACAGAATAAATATAGATCTCTCACGTTTGGGATGAGCCCCATGTGAATAAAATAGTGCAAAAAAAAAATTCCCCTCTGGCTGTATCTTATCTGTATAAATTCTATCAGTCATCTCCTGTACACGTAGTGGGATTGATTTTCTGTACTTAATTATGAAATTGTATAAATATAAATAGGGATAGTTTAGGAAAGTTTGTGGTAAAAATTATTTTTTTAATAACATTAAATAAGATTTCTTAATTTATGTGAAAAACAAAACAAGTATATATAAATTGGATGGAGGGACTCTATAATTCTTACAAGTCTCAAGAAATCTGAAGGATAAAAAATATTCCATATGTACATACACACACAATAACATGGATTGATTTGCATATTAAGGTTGAACCCCAACCTTGAAAACCCCCACCTCTCCGCCCCTAGAACTTTGTGAGAAAGATAAATCGCGAGATTGATTTGCATATTAATTTGGTGAAAGCTGGTCTCAGGTTGACTTCACCGACAAACTTTTTTTGAGACTATCTTTAATAATATATTTTATTATATTCAGTGGCGGATTCAGCATTGGACGTGGAGGCGCGGCTGCGCGTGCTGGAGTTGCTTAAGTGAATCTTAAAGTGGAGGTTTGGACCTTTTAGAGGGAACAGCTACTTCCATGGATGAACTAGGAATGAAGAAAAACTGTATAAATTGTGAAAGGCCATTTATTATTTTTATTTTATAAAATAATAGGCTTTGCATGTTGGGCCGGTTGTCTTAAAAAAATAATAAATAATAAATAAATTGGCTGAAGCCTGAATAGAAACCACACAAAACAAATTTAGATTTAAAACAATTGCAAATTTACATTTAATTGGGTACTGTTGTCGAGACCATCTTCCCACTCCAGGCTCCAGCTGCAATATGCCTCCAGACGCCTATCGCCGCCATGCCGGGCTTGCTTCGATCAGTTTCTTCTTCAGTTCTTTGTAATTTTTTTTTTCGTTTTTATTGTTTAAATGTTGTTTTAGGTATTTTATGATTTAATGATCTATGAGTTATGAGTAATCATTTATGAATTATGAGTTATTTGGAAATTTGAGAATATGTGATGTTAAAAACTAATAGAAGTGTATGTGATTTTTGAAAATGTAGAATGATAAATTGGGGAATTTATGATTTGTGATAAATTGGTGTTGAAAATTGGAAATTGAAACTTGAATCATATTTTAAAATTACATTGACAAAGAAATTTTTCAAAAAGTTGAGAACGAGACAGTCTTGCAAGAATTTCGAAATATGAGACCTCAGATGATGCATTTTTTGAACTTGTAGTTACAGAATAAGGTTGTATCATTTTTTTTTTATATTTTTATTTCAGATTGTATTGAATTATATTTTCATATAAATATATAATTTTTATGTTTTAGTACATTTATACATGGATAAAAAAAAATTTAATATTAATAAACGACATCGCTATTAAGGTTGTTGGCTGTTGACTGTTGAAAGTCAACAATCAATAGTCGACGACCACCCTAACTGAGCTAAAGTCTTGGATCCGCCCTTAATTGTATTCACAATTTTTATCCATTTTCTAATAACATATTTAGCCCATGTTTGCTAAAGAATTTGATCTAAGCTCCTGTTTAAAATTTAGATTTACTTTAAATCAAAGTTAATAATTACTCATTTCATCTCATTTATATAGGCTGATTTTTCTTATTTTTTATCCCAATTATATAGTCATATTTCTTTATTGAAAATATTTTGTTTTGTTCGCTGACTAATATACCGTTATTTAATTTCCCGAGTTATAACCAGATTTCTTTACTTAATCTTGAAATTGTACAAATATAAATAAAGTAAATTAGGAAAGTTTTTGACAAAAATTGCTTTTTCACTAACATTAAACAAGATTTCTTAATCTGTGTGAAAAATAAAATTAGCCTATTTATATGGGATCGATGGAGTAATTTTAACAACGTATTTCATGATATTCACGACTTTTCAATCACATATTTCATCAACTTTTATCATAATATACTAAAAATCTGATTTTAATCTTCAACCAAAGTCTAGCATAAACAAATCATTACATTTCAATTTATTCAACATTTTCAATTTATGTACGTACTTTTCATAAAACTTTTATTTATATGTATATTCTTTAACAAATTAATTTTTTCTTTTAACATTATCAATTGTCTTACTTTAAAAATATTACGTATATCATTCATTCTACAGAAAAGACGTGTAACGCACGTGTTTACTACTAGTAATTTAAAAAATATGTATGTACTCAATTATTTTTGTCAATCAATTTAACTCTGGTTCAATCTCGATTTAACCTTTTAGCCTTTATCCTTTTGGCTTTTCCAAGACGAAGTTCGATATGATTTTCAAAACATTGCATAATAGATAATTTATTTAAATGAAAAGAAATTTTGTATTCAGTCCAACCAACTCTTTATTATACTTTTCCTAACATTTATTTATTATTTTTACCCCTTTTCTCAATCATACACTTTTTGTAGACATCAATGATAAAATCGGTGTTCTAAATGGTGCAGTCTAGGCGCGCCTTGGCACCCGTCTAGACGTGATGCTCGGCTAAAACACCAAGCCAAGTGGCTTGGCGCCTTATTTGGCGGTCAACGAATTGTCGTTGACCGCTAAAGTGAGCCTAGGCGCAATTATGCGCGCATTGGCACGCATTATCATCCTTTTTTATTTGTTTTTTTAAATTTTGTGTTGTTAAAAAATTGTCAATGGCTAATTTCTTCATTTTGTCCTAATTTAAAGCAATCACTTGTATCGGAAGACACGAAGGACAAACTAGATGAAGAAGAGGATATTAAATTGGAATTTGATAAAGAGTTAGATAATATTTAACTTCCTATACTATTTATTTACTATTTTATTTTTAAATTTGAAACTAATCATTTTGTTAGAAATTTTGAAAAAAATGTATAACATTCCTATAAATCTGATTTGAATGTTTAATAAGTATTATTTCTAAAAATTAAAATAAGAAAACGTTTTTTTACGCCCAAGCCTCGTCTAAGCTCGCGTAGCTCATAACTTGGCTTCCACGCATCACCACGCATTACGCTTTTTAGAACACTGGATAAAATATTCAATATACTATAAATAATTTAATAGTGGGGCATAGAAATTTGCAATTTTATTTAAATGCGATCTTGACAAAAAATACATAGAGTCAAATTAACACTTTATTTTAAAATAAAGAATCTTGTCTACCTTAATTTTAAGTTTTAATTCTTTAAAATAAAGAGCGTCTCCCTTTTAAAAAATTTGTTGAACATCCTTTAAGCCTCTTGTTGGGATCAGTCACGGCTGGTCCTGTGATTTTCGGGGCCTGAGGCGAACCCTATAAGTAAGGCCCCCAAAAGCAGCGTAAAATATAAAATTCAACAGTGTATTATTATGCAACATATTGCTAATTAGGGACGGATTCAATATTGGATTCAAGAGCGAGCAAAAAAAATTTCAAACTGAACTAATGCACAAAAAAAAAAAAAAAAACCACACATAAAAAACTGATTTACAAAAAAGAAAAAAAAAAAAAGGTTTTTTCAGGCCTGGAGCCCCTAAATCTATCCCTACTACTAACTTAACAATATAACAACAAACAAATATATTAGAAATCTACTTCTAATGAATTTTAGAAAATGTAAGATTATTCATTTCTAAGTTTTCCAAGGTTTGATCACTGTGATTTGCATTACTATGAGGGCAAAAACTACTACCATTACATAAATCCAAATGTTGAAATAGAATTATGTAAATTTCAAATTAAATAGAATAGCACTTTACCAAATAATTACTCAAGGGCCCAACACTAATTAATTTCATAAAAAGCTATAAATTACTAACAAACTAGTAGAAACAAACTACTGGAGTGAAACATCAGAAATCACACTAACAGAGGAAGAAAAAATTTCATTTGGCCTCCTAGCAAAGAGCAAGTGTGAAATTTCAACCAATTTATATTCAAATCAACCAAATAAATCCATAAATACTATACCCAATAAATAAAAACAATGAAATCCCAAATATACTCAAAGAAAATACTGAGGAAGAAAACTTATCCCTTATAATATATTTCCTCATGAAAGCTGTATAACACTAAGAAAATAAAAAAAGAAGAAGAAGAAGCTGTATATGAGAGGAAATGATTTCGATTTGGGCCTAACTTTTTAAACTAAAAAAGGCCCATATTAACTATCAACCCAAACCAAACAAAAGGGCCTCTAAGTTCTGTCTTCTTCTTCCTCAGAGAGCCAGTTCTTTCCCTCTTCAGCTCTTCTGCCCTTGCCAATGCAACGCCTAGCGGTTATGAACATTTCGACTGACCCCTGACTCGTCGTCGGTCCGATCGGAGGAGAGGAAAATACTTTCTTCTTTCACAATTTACTTTCTTCATTTAATTGGAAAAAAGGGGGAAAAAAATTTTGGCCATGGAAACGAGGCCCCCTTTAGCTTTTGGCCTGAGGTGCAAGCCTCATCCGCCTCGTCTCAGGACCGGCTCTAGAATCAGTGAATGATTTGTTTGGTTATTGATGCAAAATAATATTGTGCTTAGCAATATTTTTTATAAGCTAGATATATTACTTAATATCGTAAATATGTATTGCTAGGGTAGTACTTGAAGAGATGTTCAACTATTTCAGTAAGATTGGTGAACTTATAGAGAGCATTTTAAATGATTTCTTGGGTCTTCCTCCTGATTTTCTCAAGAAATACAATAGAAGATGGGATATTTTGACGACTCGGCGCTACTTCCCAGCAACAGGAAATGATAACATTGGGTTGTCTCAACATACAGATGGGAATTGTATCACTTTTATTTTTCAGGATGAAGTTGGAGCTTTGGAGGTTCTTAAGGATGGAGAATGGACTCCAATTGTTTTGGTAGAAGGTACAATACTCGTCAATGTGGGCGATGTTATTCAAGTAACTTCTATTTTTAATTTCATCCGTTGTTAAGGATATAAAAAACTTTTCGATGGTCGAAGATTATCTTACTATGTATACGGTAGTTTTATTATGTAATTAGTATAGTATGTTTCGTTTTATAATTATTTGTGCCCGCCAAATACGGTTGTTCTCTTTGGAATTTTGAAAATTGCGAGTTGGTCTCTAACCTATTACTACATTAGCTAGTTAGTCCTCATCTTTAAAATGGAACTTTGGTTCTAACCTTTTACAATGTTCGCACAATGAATCCCCCATCGACGGAAATCGTCTTTAAATTGTCACACGGTTCTCTTGAAGGCATGCTTTAGTTCAAATATTTAGACATTCAACGAAAAATCTTGCTTCAAATAGGCCACACGAGGGTTACATGACAATTAACAAAGAATTGACGATTTCATGATTGGGGATGAATTTTGCAACTATAACAAAATGTTGATGACCCACTTGCTCCATTTTAAAGGTTGAACACTGACTTGCTATTGGAGTGAATGCAATTTTTTATTGTAATTTTTAGGTGAAAAGTGTTCTAATTCTGTTTTTAGTGAAGTTTTGAAATACATTTATAGCGTTACAAATTTTTACTTGATGGACTAATATTATGAAATATTTCCGGATATTCTCTCCTTCAGGTCTTGAAAACAATTCAAGAGTGCAGCTCAAAGAGTTAAGAAGCCAAAAGGAAGAAGACGTCACTCATTTTCCAATTTCTATAACTTGCAAGAAGACAAAAGGGTCAAACCACATTACACAGAACAACTTGGAGCGCAAACCAAGACCCCAAGATATAGTGGACATAACTCATTATGCAATTCCTCATGATGATCAAGCATAAACTAGTGGTTACTTGAACTCTAGTTATTGTATACGTTTCCTTGCAAATGGGATGTGTTCTAGCTATGTTTGTATAGTGATTGATGTTTTATCGAGATTATGTCGAATACACGCTATTTAAGTCATATAATTTCACGATTTATTTGGTGCCTTTCCATTGCACTTTCATTATTTTATTCTGATAAGATGCATTGTTCCTTTGGCGGTTTTAATTTTGTCTGATAAGTTAAAACTGATAAACGCTTATCATGTTTTCGATTGCTTTGTTAAGCTTTTTATTCATTCATTGTATGCAAAAGGAATGTGCTATTAATTATCTTGTTGCTGAACCTGTTCAAGAAATGCTCCTACTTGAGGGCAGCTGCAGTAGAAAATGAACTGTTAAAGGGTTGAATTATGATTGAGTCGGAATATATAATTTTTTAGCATTTAATTAAAAAAATTCAGTCAAAAATTTTTGATAGAAGAATAACATTAGATAAATTGAATGGCTCGTAGGAGCTTAATAAATTTTGATATCATATTAAGAGTTAAAAGGGTAGTCCAACCACTAATATGTTGATTAATATTCTTATATTTATTTTATGTGGGATTAATCCCTTGACATGTTAGATGTCATCAAATCGAATAATCCTATGGACTCGTCTTTTTGCCCTTTTATTTTATTTTTCCATATTACCTCAAATATGAAAAAAGAATAAGTATTTTAATTTGATTCTCTTCCGAGGTACCTGTGTAGTATGTAAGATGCTGTTTATGTAAAGACAAAAATTTTCCCCATAGTTTTGTCAATGATGGGATTTCTATCCATTTTTTTTTATATATAATGAGTATTATGTCACATTCAACGAGACTATAAGAATGGTCATATGACAGCCACATAATACATGAATTAAGGCTCACAATCAACATCACTATCCTACTTGGCTATCCAAGGCCCTTTAGTAGTCAAAATGATGCACTATGTCGAACCCTCATATAAAGGTCGAACTCTCCATGCACGAGGTGAGGGAATGTGACATGCTGCAGAACCAATTTGAAACAAATAGCCTTCAACGTGTGAGACATATCCCTTGAAGATACTTCGTACGAGATCTTCTATGATTGATGATATGATCTCCTTATAATAATCACTTTATCAAGTCAACTTGTCAATCTACTTTTGACATCCTATGTCTAAGTTGTAAGGTGGCCACTTTTTAAAATCATTTAATGTCCCTGAGCCTAGGATTGATGGAATGATGCCTATGATAAGAATTTTAAAATGAGGCCTCATGTCCCTTCATCCAACGATAACTATTCATCCTCCTCTACTATAAAAGCTCATACTTAGTACACTTGGAAGGTATTACATTTTTACACATTCAAGTAATATTTCTCTCTCTCAACTTACTCTCTGTATGCCTCCGGTGCCCGAACACTATTGTAGCTCACGCCTCTCGTACGTCTCAAACCTAAATAAAATCATACAAGTATACTGACTTGATCGTCAGAGTGCTCGAGACCATCTCTCCCACTATCGAAGAAGGCCACATGTTTTTTATGATTTGTCCAAGTGTGCGGGAAATAAACTACATGGATGTGACTGGAGTTGAAATATGTTGACCACATCACTCATGAAGAAATCGAACCTTCCATAGACATGATACAACACCAATCTGAAGGGAATAGCCTTCAAGCGTATGAGGTACCTTTCTTAGAATGATAATCTGTAGAAGATCTTCTACGATTGATTGATGTGATTTCTCTGTAACAACCACTTTATCAATTCAATTTATCAGTCTACCTTTTACATGATAGGTCTAAGTCGTGGAATGCTATTTTTCAAAATCATTTAATGCCCCGAAGCCTAGGACTATTAGAATGACACTTATGATAAGACACCTTGATCGTCAGAATAAGGTCATGTGTCTTTTCATCCAACGATCACCATTTTACCCCATCTACTATTAAAGCTCACATTTAATGTCATTTGAAAGTAATATAATTTTACACATTTAAGTAACATTGCAATTTCTCATTATACTGTCTATATATCCCCATTGCTTGAGCTCTATCGTGGCTTACATCTCCTGTATGTCTCACATCCAAATATAATCATACAAATTGACTGATTTGATCGTCATAGTGCTCAAGGTCGCTTTCTCCACTATCAAAGAACGCCATGTGCTCCTAAAAGCTTATCCAATTACACAGGAGATAAGCTACGTGGACGTGAGTAAAGTCGGAACCTATTATCCATGTCACTCGAGTAGAAATTGAGGTCTACAACAAGTAATGCTACTTCTGGTTTATAATTAATAAATTTTGGACCTAACAAATCATCAAATTGTGAACATTCACATGCCGGTCACCGAGTACCGATATATGCTTGCATATATCATAGATAAAGTGGAGAAATTAATGTGAATTAAAATGGCCAGTTGATATTTTTGTATCGGTTGTTGTTCCTGGTATATTAGATCAATCTGCTCGTGATTGTTGAAAGGTTGTTGACAGCAATATTTAATTAAAAATAAATTATTAAATAAAATAAAATAAAATCTGCCCATGATTCGAACTGCATCATTTGGTTCACACCATTATTTTTAATTTTCTTTAATTAATACCAAAGGTCACTGAAAACGCGGTAAAAAAGATATTTTATTCGTGAACAGTGCTATCCCACGTTATTCATGTATGCGATGCACGTGGACCTTATATAAAACAAAAAAAAAAAAAAGTTAAATCCTAACCTTAAGGGTCCCACCACTCCCTGAAGCATCGTGGGCCTTGTATACATACATACATGCGTTTGTGTGCTGATTTCCACTTGACGTGTTGCAATGTCTAACTGTGCAATTCCGACGGTGGATCTGTCTGTGTTCTTCCAAAACGGCGATGAGGAAGGCAAGAAGGCGGCGAAAGCCATAATTAGCCGCGCCTGTTCTGAATACGGCTTCTTTCAGGCTGTAAACCACGGGGTATCGCTGGAGCTTATGAGCCGAGCCATGGAGCTTACCAAGACATTTTTCACGTTGCCAGAGGAAGAGAAGATCAAGTACAGACCTAGATCCGGAGCGCCGGTTCCGGCCGGTTATGGGAAACAGCCGGCGCACTCTAGTGATAAGAATGAATATCTGTTGATGCTTCCACCTCAGTCCAGTTTCAATGTTTTGCCCAATGACCCTCCTGGGTTCAGGTACACTTTATCCAGATAAGATCAAATTGAAATAAAAATGGGGATCTATCTTCAGATTCTCTACCTCAATAATGTAATGATCAAAATCACTTGTATTCTTAGTTGAGTATTACTTAATAATTAATATGTGTTGCCAGGGAAGTACTTGAAGAGATGTTCAAGAATTTCAGCAAGACAGGTGAAGTTGTGGAGAGCATTTTGAACGATTGCTTGGGTCTTCCTCCTAATTTTCTCAAGGAGTACAACGATGACAGAACCGGGGATCTTATGTCGGCTAAGCGGTACTTCCCAGCGACAGAAACTGAAAACATTGGGATATCCGAACACGAAGACTCTAATTGTATAACTTTTATTTTTCAAGATGAAGTTGGAGGTCTTGAGGTTCTTAAGCATGGAGAATGGATTCCAGTGGTTCCTGTTAAAGGCACGATAGTTGTCAATGTAGCCGATGTTATTCAGGTAACCTTCATTTTCATGTTTCGTAAGTTAAAATATTGTCAGGCCTCGTACTGGATGATGAACTAAGGTTTGAAATATATTTTCAGGTCTTGACTAACAATAAGTTTAAGAGTTCAACTCACAGAGTTATAAGATCAAAGGGAAGGAGTCGTCACTCGTTCTCCTTTTTCTATAACTTGCAAGGAGACAAAATAGTCGAACCATTACCGAATTTCACAGAACATATTGGAGAACCACCAAAATATAGACAATTCGTGTACAAGAGCTATCAAGCTTTGAGGATAAGAAACAAGACTCATCCACCAAACAGACCCGTAGATGTGATCAACATAAGTCATTATGCGATTTCTCCACACAATAATCAAGTGTACTCTAGTCTGTAGTCGCATGAACTCTAATTATTATATATGTTTCCTTTGCAAATGGGATGTGTTTAGCTTATGGGTAATGCTATGTGTACATAACTGTGTACACAAGGGTTTACATCCTACTCACATAGAGGGGCCTACACGTAACACGTAGCATTATCCTTAGTTTATATATAAGTTCATGTATGGGAAAATTTCGGGTTTGTACCTAATCGAGGGTCCAAATAATGGGCAAATGGTTGTTCATTCTTAGGAACTAGTCATCTATGTATTCGGCGCCTCCCATATTGCTTGAACACATTAATCACCGCTCAAGAGTCCAAAGAATGAGTGAAAGGTCGTTCATTCTTAGGACCGACTCATCTATGTATATGGAGACACTCCGAATTGCTCTAACACATGAATTATGCAACTTCTGCGTAATTATTAAGTATAAACTAGTGTTTATATGAACTCTAGTTATTTAATCTGTTTCCTTGTAAATGGGATGTTTGTAGTTTATTTATGTAAGGCGATGATTGATGTTTTATTAAGATTATTCTATGGTGGTGGGAAAGGCGGTCGCGAGCACTTTAATGGTCAAGTTGTCAACTTATATATTTGGGTATAAGATGAACAAAAACGTGAGCTATAAGTATGTGTACACACATCGGGTTGAAGAGAGAAAATAACAAGAATGAGCAATTATAATATTATTGATTGTGTAAAATTGTATTTCCTTCGAATGGTATTAGGTATGAGCTTTTGTAGCAGAAGGGATGAAGTAGTATTCATTAGAAGAAAGACATGTGGTTTCATCTTAACGGTTGAGGTCTCTTCTCCTAGTTGTCACTTCTGCAATCCTAGGTTTAGGGAGCAGTCAATGATTTTGAAAAATGACTATTTCTTAGCCTAGGTTTAACATCTGAAAGGTGGGTTGACAAGTTGATTGTGAGACACTTGCTGCTTGCAGAAAGTTAACATCAGTCAATCACAAAATTTTTTTTATGGAAGAGGTGAAGCAAGAAGATGCTTTCATAGGTTTAGAGCCTAGTCACTTGAGAATTGCACTCCAATAGGTCGGTGCACATCTCCTCGACTATGGAGGGTTAGCCTCTTACTTGGCTCCTCGGTTGAGATTATCACTTCAATTACCTACTATTTGGTGCCTTAGCTAGGCCAGATAGGATGATGATGTGGAGCGTGGGCCAAATTGATTTGTTAGCTGACTACCACGTGGTCAGCCATTGGAGCTTTGTTGGGTGAGTTGTAACAGTATATAAGGGTGTTTTGTGGGATTAAAATTAGATTTTTTAGTAGATTATGATTTAAGTTTTTGAAATGCGTAGTTGAAAAGTTGTAGGACCTATGAAAAATGTAGTTAATTTGATTATTTGACTTTGATTTAGATTAAAATCAAATTTTAATCCAAACCAAATAAACTGTAAATTTTAACCTGAGATTAATAAGAATATTGTATGGCTTAACTATTTGGTTTTGGCGCTCAACTCATTAATGTAATGAGAGGTGAATATTTTTGGTTGAGCTTAAAAATAAGTATAAATTTATCTGGCAAAAAAGTCAGGAAAAAGTCTAATTTGAACATGATTATGTTCCTCTCATATTGCTTTCACATGGCTCTTCGAGGCTCATAAATCATCGATATGACACCAGTGTATGGTGGCTAAGTTTTCAAAATCCTCCACTCTGTTCTTATGGTAGACTGAAGACTTTAAGAAGAGTAACTTTTAGATATCTTGAAACATGTTAGAAGATTAACTTATAAGCTAAGCTTAAGGTGGGTTGCAAGGAAGTCCTTTAAATCATTGAATCTCTTAACAAAAGGTTAAGTTGTTAGATAACCGACACATTTGATACTTTTTTTTCATTAAAATATTTAATAGATACTCAAACCATGAATCTATTAAATGGTAAGGCGAATTTCATGAATGGTTTCTATTCCCATTGTGCAAGACATTTGTAGACCAGGTTTTCAGTCATCTGAATTGAATTCAGTTTGTTAACTTGAAGCAGAAGTAGTTTTTGAAAAATAAATCAGAGCAAAGCCTATAAAACTTTGTAATTGTGAGAAAATCATTTCATATCACCAGACGCTGTTTTACACTATTCTTTCATACTAATTGAAAGCGCTTGGATGGAGCACAATGTTTCTAAGGAGAGTTAACTCTTGTTGAATATTTTATTTTGACATTAACTTCACCGCAAAAAGACCAAAACATCTTGATGTAGAATTAATAGGAGATTAGAGAAGAAGAAGGTAGAAAACAGTGAAGAAAAGAAGAAGAAGAAGAAGAAGAAGAAAGAATACGCAGGGAAGAGAAGAAATTGGCTGCCTTCAATACGTAATTTTATTCCATTATCAACTGTTTCAATTACATGGCAAACTAGATTTAAATAACAAAACAAAACCCTAAATAGAGTGTAACTCCATGATGCTGATTCTTGTTGTGATTTAGTGCATTCGGGTGTTTTGTTTTTTTTTGGTTTTTTTTAATTTGGGGGGGGGGGGGGGGGTTTGGGTTCATAAAAATTATATGTTCTATGTGGATTTAAATGAGAAATTCTTGACCGGCTCTTAATAGTTTTTAGTAAATGTGCTTACATAAGGTGTTACAATGATCTTATTATTGGGCATCAACTTGCAACTTTTTCACCTCAAACTTTCTTTTCCATTGAACTTTAATTTATAGCGGTGAATAAGTTGATATTACTCTTACGTTTATTGAAACATGTCATTGAAAATAGAGTTTGATAATTTATAAATTTTGTAAAGGATGCTATGCTCTTTGTTGAATTAACGGAAGTGGCAAGTGGATATATACACAACGCATCTTGTCCAAAATCGTGCTTTCCTTTTTATATTTTGATTTATGTTAAATGCTTTTCGAAAACCTACTTGTCTAATGTAACACGATTTTGTCTTGCTGTAGTATAAAAATAGTACACCAACAGATTTTCTGTGTCACGATATCATTTCCATTAGCATGCTAGAGCATTTTGAAGAGATTATTTAATTTTAAAGAGTTGTTTATGCATCAAAGATAATTTTTTCGTAACTCCAAAAAAATTCATATATGTTTTGATAGTTCAAGAAGTGAACTAGTGAAGCATTGAAATGTAGAGCTAATTAAATTCAATTATTATAAAGTACAAATAAAGTCTAACTCGCTATTTTAAATAGTTAAAATAAAATCTCTATTGAACCTTAATTTTAAGGATTGGCTCTTACCGCTAAGAAGTCTTTTGAAAATGTTCTTAACATCCGTTAATTAAACAAGACAGTATGCTATAACTGAAACAAATATTTGTACCACCAATTCTAGCTATAGAGATCTAAGAATTCGTATGTTTGATTTGTGGATTTCTACGAGGCTCATTTGGTTTGTTTTTCTATGCAGGTTGATAGAGAAACATTTTCGAGCAATCATGATCATGTGTTTTGTGATGATGACTATATGTACCAAGCATGGTTGATTGTAGTGTTTTCTAGCTTTGTACCTTGGTTCCTCTTGAAAAAAAAAAAAAGGATTGTTTAACTTGATGTTTCGCTATAATTTGTTGTCGAAGTGTATTAATATTATTTTGGTATAATGGATGATGCATTTCTTACTTTGTCCATTCTAGGGGTGGGCGCGGGTCGGGTCGGTTCGGTTCGGTTCTCTTTAAAATCGAACCGAACCAAAATTTTCGGGTTTCTAGTAAATGGAACCGTCGAGTCCAAATATAATTATGGAACGGTTCGATTCGATTCGGTTCGGTTCTGTACTATAATTAAATTTTTTAACATTTATAACAACATTATATAAATACAATTAATGATACATTCAATGATTTTGGAATGCAATAGACTAATAGACTACCTTATTCAAATGATAGCTACGATCAAAGTTTCGGTCAATGGAGGTCGCAACTTCGATCGAAAGTCACAGCATCGACTGACGATTATATATATTTTGAAATGTCAGCGAGGCTACAAGAGTGAGTACGAGAGTCGAGACAACGTTATGCACTTTAGTGTAGGTATTTAGAGTTATTTAATGGATTGAATCTTGTTGTGCTAAGAAATGAAACAATAAAATGGGTAATGGGGCCAAAAATTAAAAAATTAGAAATGAAACAAATTATTGGGTCAAAAATTTGGATTTATAAATTGTTAATTTGTTTAGAACAAATTAAAATTAATATAATTTGATTTACTCAATACAAAAAAAAAAAATTAGAAATATTCGGTTCTTATTCGATTTTTCGGTTCTTGATCTAGAACCGAGAACCGAACCGTACCCGTCGGTTCTCAATTCAGATACCCGTTCGAACATTTAATTTGGCAAGAATCGTCGAGTTCGGTTCAGTAGATTTGCCTAGCCCTAGTCCATTCAATAAATAATTGACTTTAAAAAACATTAATGATGTAAACTATTCACAAGGACCTACACTGTTAAAGGAATGAAAGGTTCAATATGGCGCCTTCAATATTTGTTGGGAACCTATTTGCACTTTTTGCAAAGGTTAGTGGAGACCCATTGCAATTTTTTTCTAGATATATTGCATTATTTACTATTGCCAAGACCCAAGATCATCTCCCCTGAAAGTTGGGCCAATTATATATTGATTGGAAAAGGCCTAAAATTATTTTGGGGGCATTCCGAGAATTGAACTCGGGACCTCTCGCACCCTAAGCGAGAATCATACCACTAGACCAAATGCCCTACGCAGTAGTGGCTGACGCGAAAAATTTGTCATTTTTAGAATTTATTTCTGCAGAAAATGGCGGGAAAATGGTAAATTGGAAGCAGAAGCTGGAAACGAACAGTTCCTGCAGTAAAATGACAAAAAAAGCCATCTGCATCATAACCGATTCAGATTCCGTTGCTTACGTGGCACCACCACAAAATCCAATCGCGAGGGAAATTAAATTACCTCTATTAATAATCGTTTTTCTCTTCATAACAATTTCCATTTCATTTTGTGAAAAAAAAAAAAAATGATTCATTCAACCGAAAATCCACCTTCTTAGCTGCAAATTTTGTGATTTCATCGCCTTTTTCATTTTTATTATATCGGAGCTGAAATTGGCGTCAAATTCTTCGAATACTCGCCAATAAGCACTTTTGCAGTTAGTTTTTACCGTCTGATGGGTACGAAATTTCATTATTGATTGAATGTGCCTTTTAAAGCGTTGTTTGTTTTTCAATAAATTATGAATTGTTACAAATAATTGACGCATGTTTGCTTGAAATAAAACCTAGCTATTATTGATCGATTTTCAAAAATTATAACATTGTTGATGGTTATGATGATAGATTGGATTTATTTTTTATGTTGATTTTACCCATTTTTTTATTAGCATTTTGGATATCGAGGTTTTAACTTAATTTGAAGAGTTCTTAGTAATTGATTACTTTATGGAGGGTTTCCGTGAGGAATTTCTTTTTATTCTTCCGGAAGTTTAGTTAAGATGTGTTACTATTTACGAGGTGTAAGTGGAATCTATTTGTGGAAACGTTTTTATTTTTTATTTTTTTTTCCATTAAATTATATTTGATTCTGAACTTACTGATTACTGACTGAATTTAAATATCATTCAGAGGCTTCAGTATCTCTTAATGCATTTCATTTGCTGTACGTAATTCATGAATTGTGGCCAGGGGGCAGTTTGACTGGTATGTGATTGGTCTTTATATTCTTGGCTGGTCCCAACAGTCCAGGTTAAAGAATAAAAAAATAAAAATAAAATAAAATCAATTGTAATTTGTAAGTCAAGTTACTTCTGTTTTAAACAATGCCTGAAGAGATATTGACATTTTGACGTGCTTGAGATTTTGATAATTGATATCAATTAGGAGAGAGGAGTTTAACTGTCTTTCATTTTTGTTTTACTGCTTAGAAGTGCAGGGTGCATTATAGAAGTAGCAGAGTAAGCTGAATTTTCCTTGGTGATTTCTGGTGCTATTTAGTCATCTTCTGGAGGTTTGGCATTGTCAAGATGGGTTTCATCTTCTGCAAAAGTCCCCAGTTAATATTATAGCTTGAATGACTGACCAACAGGGTAGTAGTCCTGGTGAGAGGAATGCTGAGCAGGTATATAACCGTATCAAACCTTCTTTCCATCACTTTTTGTTTCAGTATTGTGAATAAAGTAGAGAAGCTATAGAAGTTCTTGAAGTAACTACTATAAACAAAACATGGATTTAGATGGTGTCATAGTTTTTCCTCTAGAAGAGTGTTCTTTAGGATTCTTCAGTTACAATCTTCAATGGTTGACATAACACCCATGTAAAGAGCTTAACAAAGAAAGTTTTACTTAAGCCTTTGAAATGCAAAAAGTGTCCAGTTTTGTATTTTACCTCTTTCTTCTTTTGTTTGAACTCCAGGATAACAACCCTCTTGGTCAAGTTCAGTTAGAATGATGTTTGGTTCAGATGATGCTCTTGATTTCAATTAGTTATTTTTCTTTATTAGTTGTTACCTGTTATCTTTGTAGTTTCAATCCTTAATATATGTTGTCGAGTTTTAATGGGTCATTTTCTTTGCTTACATACTAAGTCATCCTGTTTGATTGTTATATGCCGGCTACAGGCCATTACTGCCTTAAAAAGAGGCTCCTATCTGCTAAAGTATGGGCGAAGGGGAAAACCAAAGTTCTGCCATTTCCAACTTTCTAAGGTGAGTTTCATTTCATTCCATGACTGACAGGGCTAGACATTGGGTTATCCAATTCCTCATAACAGTAAACTATTTGGATGTTTACTCTATTAGATATTTATGAATTTATAGTTCTAGTTGTATCACTTTGTTCATCCATGCTATAGGATGCAGTACATAAATAATAAATTGTTTGGCAGATTATTGGGAAGGCTAGAAAGACACCCAGTATTGTGCGTATGCTGAAGCAGATTCAGTTCAACACTATACAGTCAAGTTGAAATTGTTCAGACAATGTGAATTCTTTCCAAAAAAAAAAATAAAAAAAAATGAAATGCTTTTCCTTCTATTTATTACTTAAGGCTATCTTGCTAGCAAATTCATGTGTCAGTGGTCATTATTGCATGATTTGCATCGATTCTCCATCTTAGTTTCCAATAAGAGTCCAAGTGATGGTATGTACATTCGTCAAGTCTACACGCTGCAAGGCAATGCTTTCAAGGAAATTCACTATAGTAATGTTTCAAGCCACGCTCAATAGTATCAGCTGTCAGGCGTTAGGTCTAAAGTCTCTGTTCTTTTTGCATCTGTTTTTGTTAATTCGCGTTAACTGAGTATAAGTTTAGTCTACAAAAATTCCTAATCAAACTTTTGATATTTAATGCATTGATTATTTTAGGTCTAATTTTAAATAAATTAAATCTTTGTGATTTGCTGAGAATAATAATGGTCAGACAAGGATTTTTAGCTTGACAGTTATTCACTGCTGAACTGATAGGATTGGATTATAAGGCAGTTTTCTGATTTTTCTTGGATTCTAGAAAAAGACTGTTACCATAGTTTCATGGATACAGGCATTCTGTTATTCTTTTTCCTTTCTTCTGATGTGCTTCATGTTTACAAGCTCTCTAAAAGTGGTTTAGATCGTACATCTCTGCAAGAGTCGGTCAAGAAATGGCTAATATTTGAGTTTTCTCCTCTTTCTTCTGATCTGTGTTAGTTTTGTGCTTATATTTATTACTATTTACAATTTACAGCTATAGGGATTACATAATAAGATATAGCATTTGGCAGTATGCTGACTGAAACTTGTTCTGGATAATACACTTTATGAAAGACTGCATTCATGATGCCACTAGCTATGCATATTCCCTAATTCTTGTCCCACTGCATTAATCAAATTCCAGGATGAGACCACAATAATTTGGTATCCTGGCAGAAAGGAGAAACAGCTCCGATTAAGCCAAGTTTCAAGGATTATACCTGGACAACGTACAGTAAGTTTGTTCTTCGCCTTCACTTAATATACACAAAATTCTGTTTGCTGAATTATTTACTGGTCGGGTAGTGATAATAAATACCACACTAATGAACAGTAAGTTAGGCTTGCATAGATTTTAGAAAGCCAAAGACTTGCTTGCAATTCGGTTTGGCTCCATCTGCTGCTTGTGTAAGTTGGAAAGCAAAATTTACTCATTTATTTCTTTTTGTGGTACTCATTTTCATTATCTTTTTTTCTGAAATTCATTGATCTGCTTCTTCACGTATAGAGAAGGTTCATTTATTTATGATTTGTTGCCTTTTGGCACCTTAATTTATCTCCAGTCACCCTCTTCCAAGATGTCATATTACTACTATGTGAGCTTGTTAATTTCGTACAATTTTTAAATCTCTTTTATTCTTATAAATAGGCGACTTAAAACTGTTCCACCATTCAGTCGACCTCGTTGCTCTTTACTATATCATTAAACAACTTTGTCAACCATAAGTATCCACATCATACAAACAATTCCATACTTCAATATTCCATTGTTCCCATCTTCATCCTTTTTACTGCCTCCTAGACTTTCGAACCAGTAATTCTTCTAATATAGTTGATATTTGACGTAGGTTATTGTCACTACTTTGCTCAAAAAGCTATATCTCATGGCATAAATGCAATCCATTTTCATCCAGAATCAATACTGAGAATCCACTCCAAGCCCAATCTATCAGGTCTAGCCTCATTTCAAGCGCTCCTACATTATCCACCCACTCCATAGGAATGCTCCAACATGGACGCAAACATGGGACTTCCAACTCTAATACCAACTAATGTAGGATATTGCCACCACTTTGCACGAAAGTTATAGCTCATGAAACAAATGCAATCTACCCTATATCACCCAAAATTAAGTCTGAGGATCCATCCCAAGCCCAATCCCTCGTTTCACGCATGGTCCTGCATTAAAATTCCTATCTATAATGAAGTTTGACTAACGTCCGGTTCACCTTACACCTTTTAATAACTCTATGGTTTCCAATTTTAATACACTTGACTTGTTATAATTATCTATTTCCCTTCTACTTTGTCAAGCTATCTTGTAAAAAGCTTTCTCCCATTCTTTATTCCAAGATAACTTTTCAAATTCTCATATTTTTTCCACATGGGACTCTTGGATCACCTTCTTGTCCTCTCCAAGGTTAGCTAACTTACACTTTTCAAAATTCTCTGCAGTTTCATATTTTGATAAGTTTCTATATCACTCTTTTGTCTTCTTACCTGCCATACGAACCTTCTCATTCCACCACTTTGTTTCCTTATTAGTTCTACTCTTGAATCTTCTAATAAATGCTCCGCTATGATTAAAGAAACTAGCGGCCTCGACAATATGATATTTCTATTTGTTCATATCCCAATTTATTTCCTTCAAAACCACATCATTAGATTTACCTTTTCCCCGATCGATTCCCCATCTTGTTGATCCAAACGTATTTGGCATTGCTTCTATTTGGTACTTCTTTTCTTCCTTATATACAAAAGTTTCTATCTCGTATTCCATAATTATGTTGCCTTCTCTACCACCCATTTGACCTGTTGTGTATTTGACTTTTATTAGAGAATTAATGGTACTTTGTACATTACTTTGCAAGATTCACGGAACAAATTTTCCGTGTGAAGTTAGTCCTGATTCTTATCATGTCCATTTTCTGTGAACATGCATATGCATGTCACTGCACATATGAGTACATCAATGAACTGTGTGTGTGTGTGTATGTATGCCCATACATGCATGTCTCTGTAATCTGTATCTTACATACATAAAGACATCAATATACTTGATCATTGTAAAGACATCCAAGTGATACAATAATATTCTCCAAGTCATTTGATGTGGATTAGGATTTAAATGTTCAACTTGGTTATGTCTTCTTACCTTTTTTCTTTGCTCATAAAATTCAAGTATAATTTTCTATAAATGTAACTGAGAACTGTATCGCCAGTATGCGAATCCATTACAATAAGCTTCTGTTGATATTGTTAACAAAAAAAATATGTTTGTAAACATACATGCTTTTACAGGCAACATTTAAGAGGTATCCGCAACCTGAGAAAGAATATCAGTCATTTTCTCTTATCTATGACAAAGGTTCCTTAGATGTGGTACGTAGACCTCTGCTCATTCTTTTACTTAGTTTCAAGACAAGAAGTGGAAGGGCAGTTTAGAACACAGCAAAACCTTGGGGTGGGGGGTGGGGGATTCTGTGAATTGTTAATCAACCCACCTCATTCATTGGCTCTATGTGATCTATCAAATATTTCTTTCACCAATGAGTTCTATACAAGATATCAAACCTATGAATCTATTTTATTTGTGATTTTGTTTGAATCTAGAAAGAATACAGATAGATACTCATGAATCATTAATAGGAGGTAAACCCTATGCGAAAGAAGTGAGTTAGACAAAAAGAAAAGCAACTTGGACAAAAAAAGAAGTGACTTGGATGGAAGCTCGTAGAATTGGTCCTGACAAACCCCAATTTAGTGCTTCTCCTCCTCCAATAATGCCTACGCAAATTAACTAGTTTAGAAAAAGTTTTAGGAGATAACCATTTTGTTAGACCCAGTCCAATAGTGCAGTACCTTCTTTTGAATGTTGATGAAATCTGCACTAGTATTGCCATGCAGCCAAGAATTTTCTTGAGAAGCTAACAGTAACAATAATTAGTGCTAAAAGACTAAATTGTGAAAGTTCATTTAATTCTTTTAGACTAAAGGACTTCATTTAATTCTTTTAGACTAAATGACTAATTGGTGATTAAAGAGAGAGAGCTACATAGTTTAAAGTGACTTTTTCCAAGGATAAAGAAGTCCATAAAGTGGCAAGAGAATTAAAATGCTATGCCAAGATTCAGAGCACTGGAGATGTGAACCCAAATTATTGGAAACACGTCTTGCCAACTTGGTGTGCACATCAATTGTACTGAATCTGCTGGAAAAATAATGGGGAAGAAACTTGTTCCAAATAGTGGTTAAGCACTTCACTAAAATATCATCTGCTTTTTGAATTCTGAATATTTTATACCTACTGGAAGAACAAATCGGTGCTAAAAATAAGTAATTACACAAGGTCTCTTCAGATGATTTGATATTGCCGTGTCTCTGGTCATTTAATTTATTTTTCCTTATAAAAGACTAGATTTTTATCTGCTTGATCGTCTTTTATCAAATAATTTTGAGCATGTAGATAAAATATGAAGTGGGATCTACTGTGGGGATTGTATAACTCATCATTTATGAATGTGAAAAAATAAAATTAGTTGGCAACAAATTGTAAATTGTTCGCTTCGATAAATGATGTAACTAGCATGAAAACAGTTTAAGTGTAATCTGTGAAAGGCTTGAGATAAACTTGTGCCCATCCTTTTACTTCATTTATTAACTTTGTTAGCAGGTTTAGTTGAGATTAGTTCTGGTAAAATACCTTAGCTTGATGTTAACTATTGAACTACAACCCAAATTGATCGCTCCAAATCATTGGAATACGTTCAACAATTTCAGAGTTAAACCAGAGTAAACAAATGGCTGCTGCTGCACAATAGATTGATAGTCGAATAAGCATGAATTGATTAAAAAAAAAAAAAGAGGGAAAAATCAGCAAAGAAAAGAATAGGAGACGAAATCTTTCAAAAATGCGTCTGCTTATGCTGATTAATTTCAGCAGATATGCAAAGACAAGGATGAAGCAGAGATCTGGTTTGTTGCCCTGAAGGCATTGACTTCACAGGGTAACTTTCAAAAATGGAGAACTGGAATTGGAATTGATAGCATGTCATCAGATAATTCAAGGACACTTACAGGAAGGAATTCTGAATCCATTTTGTCAAGTAGCAGCTGTGATACAAAGAATGAGGTCTCTTCTTCCTATTTATGGAACGGTTATAGCCTATTAACTTCCTCTTTTGGCTAGTGGTACTCTTTTTATTGGCTGGACTCATTAAGGCTCGTGATATATAATTCTCTTCGTATGGTTTTTGCAGGATAGACTACACTGTCAGATAGTTCCTATCCCGTTTGAGAGACCCCCTCAAAAAAGACCTGGAAGAGTTTTTTCTGACTTTTTACTGTATAATGCAGCTGGTCAATGCTCTAGACAGATAGAGTTTGTCACCAGTTCTCATAGTCCACAACCACAAGAGAATGTAGGTGATCTTAATGGGAAGATATCCACTGATACTTCTCGAGTCAGTTTCTCCAGTGCCATAAGTAGTTCATGTAGTGTGGGATCCTCTCTTGAAGATAATGTTACTTCAAGTGATATCTTCATTTGGGGAGAAGGAACTGAGGATGGATTGCTTGGCGGAGGTGTTCATGGAATTGGAGGATCAGTTTTTCCTAGAAAGGATGCCTTTTTGCCAATGGTTCTGGAATCTAATTTGGTACTTGATGCTCAAAATATTGCTTGTGGCAATGAACACGCTGTGTTAATCACAAGACAAGGGGAAATTTTTAGTTGGGGAGTGGGTTCAGGGGGGCTCCTGGGGCATGGAGTAGAAGCCGATGTCTCTAGTCCAAAGCTCATCAACACTCTTAGTGGACTGAACATTGTATCAATAGCATGCGGAGAATATCATACTTGCGCTGTGACACTTTCTGGAGATCTGTATACATGGGGAGATGGCATCCATAACTTCGGCCTTCTTGGGCATGGCACTGAAGTTAGTCACTGGACTCCAAGAAAAATAAGGGGTCAGATGGAGGGTATCCATGTAATTTCAGTATCTTGTGGACCTTGGCACTCAGCTGCCATTGCCTCAGGGGGTGAGTTGTTTACCTTTGGAGATGGAACTTTTGGTGCCCTGGGTCATGGAGATCGTTGTAGCACAAATGTTCCAATGGAAGTTGAAACTTTAAAAGGACTAAGGGTTATCAATGTATCTTGTGGATTTTGGCACACTGCTGCTATCATAGAGGTTCCTTGTGAATCATCAAGTTCCAATGTCTCTTCAACTAGAAAGCTGTTCACCTGGGGAAATGGAGATGAAGGCCAGCTTGGACATGGGGATAAGCTATCTAGACTTGTTCCATGCTGTGTTTCTGTGTCAACTGATACAAACTTCTGTCAAGTAGCCTGTGGGCATAGCATCACTGTTTGTCTTACAACCTGCGGACAGATATATGCCATGGGGAGTGCTGATTGTAGTCAACTTGAGAGTCCCAGAGACGCCGGTACATTACCCTTGCGTATCGAAGGTAAAATAAAAAACAGCTTCATTGAAGAAATTTCATGTGGCTCTCATCATGTAGTTGCCCTGACCTCGAAATCTGAAGTTTTCACTTGGGGAAAAGGAAGAAATGGTCAGTTAGGTCATGGGGACAATGCTGACAGGAATACTCCTACTCTTGTAGAAGCTCTGAAAGACAAACTAGTGAAGAGAGTGATTTGTGGAAACAATTTCACAGCAGCAATTTGTCATCACAAACGGATTTTTGTAGCTGATCGCTCAAGTTGTTCTAGTTGTGACAAATCATTTAATTTCAGAAGGAAACGTCATAATTGCTACAACTGTGGACTTGTGTTTTGTAGCACATGTAGCAATGAGAAATCGTTCAAGGCTTCTTTTGCTCCAAATAGGAAGAAACCATATCGTGTCTGTGAAGGTTGTTTTCGAAAACTGAATAAGGGATTGGATTTGAGCTCTCGACCTCCCAAGGCCAGCTGTGGAAAGGTGTGTGGGGATCTTGGTAAAATTAAGGAGAAAGAGTCCTCTAAAGCTAAATCACGTGGCCTACTTTCCAGACTCTCATTCTTTGATTCATTTAGACTGTCTGATAGTGGACTATCTAAAAAGAACCAGAAGCTACACTCAAGCAGTAATCATAATTCTCACTTTCACTCTAGAAGTTTTGAGTGGAACGGGTCTCATGCATCAAGTCCATCAACATCTATCTTTGACTACTGCGAGAAAATAAATGCTTCGCTCCCAGGTTCAGCAAGGCATTCTATAGCATCTTCTCCTCTCTCTGCAAATTCAAGTCCATATCATTCCATTTCTCTTGCATCATCATTTGCTAGTGTTCCTTCAGAAGAAGAAATTGATGATTCAAATCAAAGAAATGACAATCTCGCCGAAGAAATATCAGTTCTGAGAGAGCAGGTAAATATATGGTGACCAAAATTTTCCATAAGTTTCTTTGTATGTTCATTGCTGCTCTTGTACTTGTTCATTGCTTCATTGTCTTCGAGAATTGCCTGCATATTCTTGTCTGTGTGAAGGAACTGAAGAAATCATGACAAAGTTTCCTTGCACCTCTTTCCACCAGTTTCTGATAAATATCTTCCATTCAATACGAAGAGGGCTGATCCAAAATGAGAAATTATATCAAAACTGGAGCCTTTTGATGCACAGAAATGAACACGTGTCTGACACTGGATATTTCAAAAACACACTAATACAACACGTCACCAACATGTTGATTAAATTCTCTATTTATATAGTATAATTTTAGTTTTATACTTGTTATTAATTTTTTGTTATGGTTGAGCTTTAATCTCAACCCCAAATCCAACAATTCAGTAATAAGAAATCAGAAATTTGAAGAAAAATCAACACCCAGTATATTAATTGCAATAATGAAATTCAATTACAGCAATTAATATGAAATAGAAGGAGATAAGAAGAAGAAGAAGACTTAAGAAGAAAAAGATAAGAGATAGGGAATTAGTGGGAAAAGGGACTTTGATAATCATTCACTGCCTTCCCCTCTCTTCCACAGATAGTTATAAAAGACAAAAACAAATTAAAAGCGTGAGAAGGAAGAAAACTTAAGAAATCGCATTTCTACTTGAACAATTATTTCTTAATCAAAACGACCTCGTCTCTTGATAAACGGTTGGCTGCCTCTTCTTCCTCAACTGCCTGTGTTGCCCTGATCTTCCTCTTCCCCTTCATGACATCCCTCCCCCTAAATATAACCTTGTCCTCAAGGTTGAAACACTGAAAATTTGGACTGCACTTCTACGGATTCCTCTTAGGTAGTCATCTGGGCTAGTTCCTTCCCATTGAACTAACCATTGAATTACAGCTAGACCATTTTTATTGATCAATGCAGCGGTTTTGCCTGATTCTCCTTGCTTTTATGTTGATCTGGGAGTGCATAAATTGGGATCTCTTTCTGCCCTATCTTTTTCTTCAACAAGGACACATGATAGACAGGATGAATCTGAGCTGTAGTTAGTAATTCTAACTTATAAGCCACTTTCCCGAGTTTTTGTATCACCTTGTAAGGTCTATAATACTTCGCAGATAATTTCTGATTTGTCCTCTTGACCACAGTCATTTGTGCATCAGGATGTACCTTTAGGTACATCCAATCTCCAATTTGGACTTCCCTCTCACCCTTGTGCTTATCTGCATATTGCTTCATTCTGGCTCTAGCTTGAGCCAAGTTTTCCCTTAGCAGGTCTATTCTATGCCTCTCCAGCAGTATTTCTACTGATGCAAGGTTAATCTGTTCGTATGGTCCCAAAGTCAGCTGAGGAGGTTTGATGCCATAGAATGCCTCAAATGGTGTCATTTTGATGGATATATGCAGAGTAGTGTTTCGAGATGGCAACGGGACATGTTCGGGGCAGGGTGGGGGCCTCGCCCAAACCCCACCCCGCCCCACCTTAGACCGGGCAGGGTGGGGTGCGGGGCAACTTTTTGCCCTGTTTAAATATATATATATATTTTTTTCAATTTTCAAACTTTCGAGTTATGCTATTATTAGAGAATAAAATGCAAATTCAAAATGGTTTTTGATGGGTGAATTGTCTAGAAACAATTTTTTTTTCCTCTTCACGAGGCAAGTTCGGGGCCTCGCCAACCTGTCGGGGCGGGTTTTCTTGCCATCACTAGTAGTGTTGTTGAGCTGGGTCAATCCAAGGTTGGAAAATTTGTCAAATCCATGGAATCACCAATACCGCTGAAGAACCACTTAAAGCAACTCCAGCTGAAACTTATGCTCCAGTATTCCCAAGATAGCTCACCTGCTTCCTGGCAAGTTCAACTCCATTTTTTATATGGAAGCTATCAATCAACATTGCTATGGTAGTTCTTGTGACGCACGTTAGCTCATAATCTAAACCCATAACTTTCCGAAGAGGAACAAGGCTAAAAAGTCCAAGAAAACTGACAACAAATATAAAACCCATCATCCACAACAACCTTGGATTCTTAACATCCTCTGCTCGATTTTCCGGATAATCCTCCCCAATCAACTTGTACGTTTTCTCATCCATTGAAAGCAAGTAAAACCCAAATCCCCATGAAGTTAGCATCTTCTCAACTTGGCTTATTCTTTTCACTGCCCTTGGATTAAGCAAGTAGTGCAAGGTGACATATGCCCCATTCATCTCATCTTTTTGGTTTCTTTTTATGCAAGACATGCTAACTTTCTTGTACCCAACAGCCTTACACTGATTACTTCTCCCATTGAACCTCTTATTTTGAGAAGCAGACCCCCTCCCCCCCTCCAAACCTTGAATCTCCTTTTCCTTTCTCTTCATTTCATCACTAAAATCAGTCTTATTCTCCTCCAGTTCTCTGACTTTCACCACCAAATCCCTCTCATTCTCAATTGTTGCCAGCTTAACATCTTTCTCCTGCACCACTTGGGTTTCCATCAGTAAGCTATATTCAGCAACCAGTCTTTTATCTTCAGCATACTCATCGTATATAGCCTCTAATGACTTAGTTCCAACAATTCCCATTCCACCATCTAATACATGAACCTGCTATCCTGCATCTGAACTGGCACTGGCTCTGGCCACCTCAAAATTAGCTTCATTTGTCATCCAAAACTCCATTTTGGCTTTGGAGTATGAAATCTCATCTATAGTTACTTTGTCAGTCTTATAGAATGTACAGCTTAATTATAGAAAACCTTAATGGGAAACCTTCCTAACATAGCATTCCTATTGTTAGGGCTGGACAAAATTCCCGAACCAAACCCAACGGTTCTTCTCAAATTAAATACCCGAACGGGTATTTGAATCAAGAACTAATGGGTACGGTTCAGTTTTAGTTCTAGGCCAAGAACCGAATAAGAACCGAATCTCCTTAATTTTTTTAATTTATTTATTTTAAATAAGCAAAATTATTTTATTTTTTCTAAATAAATTTGTTAACTAGTTAATTTAGTTCAAACCACAAAATATGATTTTTCTATTTCTAATTTTCAGTTCAAAATCAACTTAATCAAATTGATCTCAATTTTATCGAAATCTGTTACTCTACTGTAGTGTCGTTTCTACTGGAGTAAATCGAATTAAAACTCTACAACATCTCTTTTAATTATTTTGAGCTCGCTATCTTTCTCTTTCTGTGATTTTAATAATCAAATTTATGAAGAATTCAGGAAAGAAAAACGTAAAAGACACATAAGATTGGACTACGTTATTTTGTAAGAGCTAATATTGAACATATCATTAATTAAATTAATGTAACTTTGTATATATTAAAAAAATTAATTATAATACAGAACCGAATGGAATCAAACCCGAACGGTTCCATAATTAAATTTGGACCCGACGGTTCCATTTACTACATACCTGAAAATTTCGGGTCGGTTCGGTTCTCATTAGAACCGAATCGAACAGACCATGTCCAGCCCTACCTATTGTATATATATGTACTGTCTCTTATAATGAATGGAACAAGAAAATTATTTTTCCTCTCCGAATTACATGGTATCAGAGCCCTAAATTATCTTACCTGTGCTTGCTCCCTGTCAGCGGCATCTTCGTAGTCTGCGGCATTATCTGTGGTCGGCAGCATCATTTGTGGGAGGAAGAACAGTTCTTCGTTCGGTGAAGTTTGAATTCGATTTTTTAGTTCTCAGCAGTTTCGTTTCCATTTGAGTCTCCGACGTCTCTGTTCTTCTGTTTCCGAAAAGAAATCGTTCGAAATTGTTTTCTCATTTTAGTGCCTTTTGTTCTGAAATTAAAACACAGTTTAATGTTTCTATACAAATATTGAGAAGTGCTAATGTCAAAGAATATTTTTCCAATTCTTTTCAGACCTTTATGCTTCAGAATGGCATTCTTCATCAATCCTGGTACGTCGACACTCCTTAAAATGGTATTGCTAAAAGAAAAAATAGATACCTTCTTGAGACAGTTAGGACACTCCTGTTCCAAATGCATGTTCCTAAACAATTTTGCGTTGATGCAGTCTCCGCAACCTTCTTTTGATTAATTGAATGCCATCATCTGTTCTTCATGGTGTGACCCCTTATAGTGATATTTTCCCTACTAAACCTTTGTTTCCTATTAAACCTAGGATAATTGGCAGTACCTGTTATGCTCGTAATGTTCGTCCCCAGATAACTAAATTTGATCCAAAATCCTTAAAATGTATTTTTCTAGGTTACTCTCGTCTACAAAAGAGTTTTCGATGCTACTGTCCGAGTCTTAACAAGTATCTTGTGTCAGCTGCTGATGTTACTTTTTTGGAACATATTCCTTTCTTTCCCATTTCTTATTCTTCTTTCAGTAAGGGAGAGGATGTCGATCTGTTAGTTTATCATGCCACTTACCAGTCAACCAATGTTACTCCTACACCTATTGCTCTAATACCACCGTCACCTTTTCGCCAGGTGTATTCCAGATGACGAAACCCTCCTGATGCATATTCGGCACCTAACTTTTCTTCGGCATCAGAGCTAGTGTCTAATGATCTTGATCTACCTATCGCTCTTCGTAAAGGTAAACGTCAATGCACTTATCATATTTCATCTTTTGTTTCTTATGATCACTTTTCCTCGTCTTCTTACTCTTTTGTTGCCTCCATAGACTCTGTACTCTTTCGAAAACTGTTCATAAAGCCTTATCTCATATTAGTTGGCGTGATGCTATGGTAGAGGAGATTAACGGTTTAGATGCTAATGGTACTTGGGATTTAGTAAATCCTGATGGATCAGTGGCGAGACTTAAAGCTCGTCTTGTAGCTAAAGGCTATGCCCAGACTTATGGTGTGAATTACTCAGACACTTTCTCTCCAGTAACTAAATTAACATCTGTTCGATTGTTCATTTCTCTGGCAACTACACATAATTAGCCCTTACATCAATTAAACATCCAAAACGCTTTCTTACATGGTGATCTCCAGGAAGAAGTTTATATAGAGCAACTACTTGGGTTTGTTGCTCAGGGGGAGTATGGAAAAGTGTGTTATCTTCGGAGGTCCTTATATAATTTGAAACAGAGTTCACGTGCGTGGTTTGGGAAATTCAATCAAGCAGTGGAAAAGTTTTGAATGCAAAAGAGCAAGTCCGACCACTCAGTCTTCTACAAACAGTCTGAATTCTTCTTGTTGTGTATGTTGATGATATTGTTATTACTGGCAGTGATACTATGCAAATTTCATCTCTGAAGTCCTGTCTTCACACTCAATTTCACACGAAAGACTTATGAGTGTTGAAGTATTTCTTGGGAGTTGAGGTGACAAGAAACACAAAAGGCATTCTTTTATCTCAGAGAAAATATGTATTAGACTTATTAACAGAGACAGGAAAATTGGGAGCTAAGCTAAGTAGTGCTCCAATGCTTCCTAATTTGCAACTTACCAAAGATGGTGACCTATTTGAAGATCCTGAGAAGTAAAGAAGATTGATTGGGAAATTGAACTATCTTACAATAACACGTCCTGATGTTGCGTATTCTGTCATTATTGTAAGTCTATTCATGTCTTCTCCAACAGTTCACCATTGGGCAGCTTTAGAACAAATCTTATGTTATTTAAAGGGAGCTCTTGGACGTGAAATACTGTACAAAAATCATGGACACACCCACATCGAGTGCTTCTCAGATGCAGATTGAACAAGTTTCAAGATTGATCGAAAATCCACTATTGGCTACTGTGTCTTTGTTGGGGGAAATTTGGTCTCGTGGGAAAGTAACAAGCAGAATGTTGTGTCCCAATTCAGTGCAGAATCAGAATATAGAGCTATGGCTCAATTTGTGTGAGATAATGTGGATATATCAGCTCTTAACTAAAGTTGGCTTTAAAGTTTTAATACCAGCAAAGTTGTGTGATAATCAAGCTCTCTTCATATTGCTTCTAATCTTGTATTCCATGAGCGAACTAAGCATATTAAGATTGAGTGTCATTTCGCTCATGAAAAGGTGCAATAGAATTTGATCTCTACAGGATATGTGAAAACTAGAGAACAATTAGGAGATATTTTTCCCAAGGCTTTAAATGGGATTCGGGTAGATTATATTTGTAACAAACTGGGCATGATTAATATCTATACTGCAGTTTGAGGTGGAGTGTTATAGAATGTACAGCTTATTATAGGAAACCTAATTGGGAACCTTCCTAATATAGCATTCCTATTTTGTGTGTGTGTGTGTGTGTGTACCGTTTCTTATAATGAATGGAACAAGAAAATTATTTTTCCTCTGCTACTTCCTCATTTTCAAACTTCTCTCTCCTCATTTTCTACCTCTAGCTTAGCCTCTGGTGCCTCTAACTTCTCTATCGCAACCACTATCTCCACTTTTGCATCAACCACTGGCACCAATTCTTCCCCACCCTTTTTATCAAGTTCTAAATCCCCAACATCGGAAACAACCATTTCACCGCCATCTTCCACTATTTCCACTTTACCTTCTACCACTGGAATTCTCGTATGCCCCGCTTCATCTCTGTCCACATCAGCACATTTGTAATGGTTAAACTGATTTTTAGAGACTGATTTAGCCCCAATCATTTTAGTCAACGATGAAAGGATAAATTCATATTTACTGTTCATTTACCCCATCAAATGCTCCATCCGGTCCTGCTCAGTGCAGACTACCTTCAACATTTGGTCTGATGATTTGAAAGCCACACCCAAGTCTAATATTTCCTTGTCTAGCTTCTTAAGGCGTTCCTCATTAGATTTACTCCTAGTTTCAGCCATATCCAAGTCACATTGCTGCCCTGATACCCAATGTTATGGTTGAGCTTTAATCTCAACCCCAAATCCAACAATTCAGCAATGAGAAATCAGAAATTTGAAGGAAAATCAACACCCAGTATATTAATTGCAATAATGAAGTTCAATTACAGCAATTAATATGAAATAGAAGGAGATAAGAAGAAAAAAACCTAAGAAGAAAAATATAAGAGACAGGGAATCAGAGGGAAAAGGGACTTTCACAATAATCATTCACTGCCTTCCCTCTCTTCCACAGATTGTTATAAAAGACAAAAGCCTGAAAACAAATTAAAAGAGTGAGAAGGAAGAAAGCTTAAGAAAACGCATTTCTACTTAAACAATTATTCCTTAATCAAAACGACTTCGTCTCTTGATAAACGGATGGCTGCCTCTTCTTCCTCAACTGCCTGTGTTGCCCTGATCGTCCTCTTCCCCTTCATAACATTTTTGTTACTGAAATCTTTTAAATATGAGTACCTATTTGTTATTAACTAATAATTTTGAGTTAGAAATATATATTTTGATTATGGTAGAGTGTCGGAGGAGTGTCGATATTTGACAAATGTCGGACACGAACACGAACACGAACACGAACACGCTACCCTAATTGAAATATCCATGCTACAAAGCTGGAGACATTCAAGGACTCTGATTATTGTACATAATCTCACAAATTTGATTTTCTTCCCCTTCAACTATCCTTTTAATTTATGGTCAGTGCCAAAACTGGAGTGGAGAAATATAATAGCTAATGCAGTCAATATTCATAGGAACATATGTCGTTCTTTGTGTATTGACTCCTGACATGACTTTGTCCAGTTTATTCTATACCTTAATGTTGTAGTGACAAAAAATAATTTGTCTTGCTTTTTATGTAGAAAAAGGTTTGCGTTATTCTTTCTCCTGAGTAAGAAATATTTGAATATGTTGCGTTTTGTATTTCCTGTATTTTGACCGCTAGGCTATTGAATAATAAAGCTGGCATTTTAAAAATCATCAAACACTGCTAAATAACTGCAATAGCTAACTTCAGAACTTGTTTTGCAAAACCAAAACCACTAGAAGGATTTCTTTCAGCATAAACTAATGATTTCATTTACTTGAATGAATTTGTAAAACAAGCTTAAATAATATCTACTGTTGGAAAATGGCATGTAGGTGGAGGCTCTCACTCATAGGACTCAATTTCTAGCAGCTGAACTTGAAAGAACATCAGATCAATTAGAAGAGGCAATGGAATTTGTTCAGGACGAAGCAGAGAAAAATAATGCTGCAAAAGAAGTAATAAAATGTCTTGTGAGACAGGTAAGTGAATTATGTTGTTCTTGAAGACAGGTGATATTAAGAGTAGTGTCTTCTGAAAGTTAGCATTCAGAAGGTAGTAGTGTTGTGGTGAAGATAAATCTGAAAAAGTCTGCCCTTAATGATGATTGATATCAATCCTTTTACAAGGTCGAAAAAACGTATTAGAATCTTGTAGAATCTAGTTTACCTCTTGGAAACCTCTTTTTCCTTTCTTTCCACATTACTAGTTCTGATCTCTTGATTATTATTAATCTAGTAAAGAAAAATTGCACACTAAGCTCTCTGCGGTTCATCTCTTGTTGCAGTTAAAAGCCATGGCTGTACGGCTACCTCAGGGATCTTCCTGCCGAGCAACAGATCCATTTGCTGATAACATGTCCCATGTTCTGAGCACTGCTTCTACGTAGAGTCAATGGACCTTCTAGGTGCGCTTTCAACCGAAGATGTAAACTATAACCTGATTTATACCGAAACAACCTCGATAAAAGGATTGTTTCATTTCTTAAACGTTTATCTACAGAATATAAGACCAACTTTATTGTTTCCTTTGCTTTTTCTGACACTTCTACTTTTCTATTCTATTTCTGCAGAACTTTTAACCAGTAACTGAGAAATGAGCAGCCATCAAGGAGAGGAATATGAGAACTATCACAGGGATGGAGAAAGTTTCAGCATCTCTTTTATCATTTGTAAAACAAAGGCTGATCCAGGTTTTGTAGTGTGTGAGCATATTTTCGTAGGAAATGATGGAATTTGTTTCACTGTTATGATGAAGTTGGTATAAACCGTTAATGCTCTGGTAAAATAATATCCAATGGAATAGGAACTGATGGGGGAGTAGAAGAGGGAAATTGTAGATCATGTCAATATTTTGATGCTTACGGTGATTTTGGCAGTATTATCAGTTTTTCTTTTTGATAAATACAATCAATCTGCACTTTCGTCCTCTCAACCTTTTTTTTTTACACTTAATATTTCCTGAAAATTTATATATTCAAATGTTTTAGATTATAGTTCCATGGAAGAGTGAAATTTTTTGCTTATGTATGTAAACAATAATTATTAGCCTACTATTCTTTATTAAGTTGATCTTTTAAGATACAAGTCTGAGAATCCCGAATGCAATGAATGTGATTTCTCGGTAAGCAACTGAGTTCTTTTCTCGATTCTCCCATGATTGAATAGTGTTTTATAAGATCTTGTCGTTTGGACAGAACATAAGACACTATTTCTATAGTAGATGATAATATATTCCCTTTTGATGTCAAAAATATTGAGTGATATTGGTATCACGTCTGGAATTCACCTCAAAAATGTCACGTCTGAGGAAGAATTGGCTAATCTCATCCCAAGGATCTACTCCAAATCTATTGTGTTTGCTTGTGGAAAATAATTTGCCAGCAGAGGATTCTTGATTCGTTTACTTGATTATGGCCACGAGAATGAGATTCATTGGAATTTGTTTATGGTGTCAAGGATTAAATGCAAAAAAATGCTACACTTAGTTTCACAGCTAATTATTTTAATCGTGGGGCCCACTCGTATGATGTGAGAGGGCTATCAAAGATTATGTAAAAAAATGTTGTACTTGAAGCATGCTTCTTAAATGCAATAGGTATGGTGTCTCATTTGTTGGAGCAAGAGTAAAAATTAAGTCCTCAGATTTCGAAAATCTTATCACCAAATCACTTAGGTACAGTGGTAGTGTACAATCTAAGCCTGCAGTAGGTTATTTGCTATGGCAATTCGAATCAGTCTTATGCATTAATGAGTTTGATTGGGATTCGCTTCAAAATGTTCAAAATCTCCCAGCCCCGTTAGTATTTTTACCTAAAAAGATAGGTTGTTACTTACCATTGTGTTTCAATATAGGAATAAAGTAGCTAATAAACTTACAACTTTTACCTTTTTTAGATTTGCATACCACTAGTTGTTTGATTGTACGCCACTTTTTACCTCTGAAACAAATTGCTACACGAGTCAATGAAATTTTCTTTTGGCATTCAAAAATTAAACCTTCTGCAATAATTTATTATCATCTCCTCTTTTTATCTTGAAAAAGACGGAGGATATCTATGCAATTCGAGATCACAACTCTATCCATGCAAAAATCACCTATTTTGAATTCATACGTTTGGTTGAGGAAGTTTTAGCTCGACCTTCAATACAATTTTACAATTATATAATGCAAAGTGGCAATCCACTCATTATTTAATGAACATCACGTGGAAAATAAAAGTAAATTACAGAAAGAATAATGCTATTTGTCTAGATCATGTTTAGACGACATTGAATGATAGAGAAAAGAAAAATAAATGCATGGAAAAATAGAGAAGAAACACTAATGCAGGAACAATCAATAATTTCACTGTAAAATCAAAGCTGCTTCTCACCCAGCATGCTCAATTATCCTGAATATTTTTTGTTCCCTCTACAATAAAATACAAAAACAAGAAAAAAGAGAGGAAAAATGGAATCTAAAGCACAAATTATCGTGTGCTCATACCACGGCCATTCATCCAGCATATGGAGGTGGTAGAAGATCAGCAACCTAAAAACGACTAAAATGCCAACAGTTTCTTTTCCGTTTTAGGCATTTTCAGTTAGTATTCATTGATCATCGTAGGAATATTCAGCTTCTCCCATGTCCACTGATTGAGCTACAATTTCTTGAGCCTCTGCAAGTACAGACTCTTTCTCGTCAGCAGCATATAATATCTTCTTAACGGCCACGGCCATCTGCAAGAAAATCAAAGAAATGGTAACTTAAGGCAGTTTGGCATGATTATTGAAAAGCCAAAAACTGCTTTTGCTTTTGAGGCTAAGAAGCTACTTTTGAGCCGGGCTTTTAGAGAAAGCTAACCTAAGGTAGGAAGCTCTTCTACAAAAAATGGAAGCAAAAACAAAAGCAAGCAGAATCAATTCCAAACAGGCCTTAGTTATTTTAGCTAACACATGTACAACTTGTAGCCGCTCATGATAGAGAAAGGAGTAGAAAATATGACATAACAAAGACGAGAAATCGTGGAATGATTATATTATGTTACCCCACGGAAAACTTTGGCATGTCAAATAATTTGAGAGCCTTTATATTATCATTATTTTTTGCTAAGCTTAAGTTCACTTGTAAAAGTTACTTTCAAAATAAAGCAATTTTTTTTCTTAAGAAAAAAGATTCATTTTTACTTGAAACTAACTTTTACTTAGCCTAAGCAATATCAAGTTATTATAGAAATTTTTGCCTAGTTAAGTAAGCACAGTCATTAATGTCGATTGGCAAGAAGAAACTAATTTTTTTTTTTTTTTTTTAAATTCCACAACTAAACAAAATACTATGGAATCAACTATTAATCTGATCAATCATTGAGGCTAATAAACGATAACAAAGTTGATTTATGAACACGGGTTCACGTTATGGTTCCATACTATCGAACATTTTTATCAATGAAATGTTTTTACTTCTTGAATTCAATTGACAAAATAATAGAAAACTCATTTTCCTTCATTCTCCGGTTTTATCATTTTGGCAATAATAAAATTATCAAGAACAACATTGACAAGAAGACATCTCTATCTTGAAAAAGGTTTATCCACGGAAAGAGAAAAGAGAACAACGAAGAAGACGAATACAAAGTACAAAAAATGCTACCTTTTTGACAAAACTGGGGTACTAAGATAATCTTACCGGAATATTTTCCAACTCGGGCGTTTGACAAAGGATTTCTATATCTCGCAATTTTGCAAAGTAAAAATCTCTTTCCTTTTCCAAGAGGTCAACAGAGAGCTTGAGATTTGTCATCTGAACAATTGTACGATATAACTAATTAAATTGAAGCATACAAAAACTAACTTTTGGAGAGCATAAAAATTTCTAAATAACTATTGAAAATTTTCAATCCCGTATTGCATGTAGAGCCAACCCCAAGTGCAAATTTGCTAAGGTGGATAGCATAGTACTAGACATGACCAAGAAAGAAAAAGAAGTTAAATCTTGTCCAAAATTTCATGTTTTGTATAATACTGCATACCATAGGTGCATAAATGTTTCAAATAGTTGTAGAGGACATGAGTTGGAAACAAACATCTTAAGGCCCAAAGTTTACACTCATGCCCCTGCCAATATCCACACTATCGCATGTCAGGCAATCAATGTGGGACGGAGTGTTACAAAGTGTGCAGACCAGGACACACTCGTGGCCCTGCCACCAGCCCAAAATGTTCAAGCATGTGTTGACAAGTCGCTACCAAAATTCTTATAAACCAGAAACACAATTCTCCCACAACCCATGTGGAAGATGTCACAAACATCATGTTTGTTGAACAAGATGCAATCAGATTATAGATGAAACAAAATACTACAAAGAGACTATATATAGGAAAACTACATAATACTAAGAGCATATAGAAAGACTAAACTACTGTTATATAATGAACCTGAATTACTTTAACATTTAACAATATTAAGCCCCTATTTAACAACCATTAAAACAAAACTTTTTTTTCTCAAATTCATTTTTAACCACACATTTTCACAATAAAATATTTTGCACATAATGTTAAAGGATATAATCTCACGTCGAATAAAGATAAAAATATAGACCAACTAATAAGATCTTGGGTTACTCATCTTAATAAGGTTAACTTTTTAAGTTGGAACCCTAAATCTTAACATGATACCAAAGCCTATTAAGCTCCAACGAACGATTTGATCCGATTAATACGGATTTCAAGATTGGTCTGCTCAAACGAACCATTATCTTGTGAGGGCATGCTAAGGGATAAAATCTCACATTGAATAAAAATGAAAACATAGACCAACTTATAAAACTTTGGACTACACCTCTTAATAAGGTTGACATTTTAAGATGAATATCAAGTCTTAACATGGTATCAGAACCCATTAAACTCTAACAAGCGATTCGATCTGATTAATACTAAAAAAAAATAAGCACACGAATTTCAAAATTGGTCTGCTTAAAAGAGCTACCATCTTGCGAGGGAATGTTAAGGGATATAATCCAATATTGAATAAAGATAAAAATATAGACCAACTTATAAGGTCTTGGACTACTCCTCTTAACAAGGTTGACATTTTAAGTTGGAACCCCAAGTCTTAACATATGAACCCAAAACTTTTTCCTACATTTTATAAAAAACTCATTTTAATGGTTGTCAAACAAGGGCTAAACCAAGTGTGTAAACATCTAGTTCAAATCATGATGCTATAGACTAAATCAAAAAGGTGATGCCCCTTTCCTAAAGGTTGAATAATAACATGGGAGAAAGTGCAGCACTATTACCTCCTTTGACAATGCTTGAATCTCCACTGAAGAATTGAAATTGCCAGAAGTCGACTTTCCTTGTTTTATACCTATATCAATATATATTGAACAAGAATGCGAAGTACTAAAAGTTAAAATAACTGAAAAAAGATAAGGTGTGGGCTGACCATATATCTTATTATTGCCAAGTTCGTCACCCGAGCCAGAAATAAAAGAGTTGTTTGTTTGCAACGACTTGGAAATCTTTTGAGAACCTTTGATATTCCGTTCCTTTCCACCTTTACATCTGCGCTCCATGGGATTGTAATTCCTAGAGGACTCAGACAAGCACAAAAAATGCATAATAAGGCAACAAGTACTAAGTTTCGAGACGATTTGATGGCCCAATTAAATCAAAGGACATATTACTCATTCACAATGCCACCATTCACTGAATCACAATAGCGTTTCAGCCATTGCAAAAATTCCAAGTTGTCCAAAGGCCTTCCCTTGACAATTCTATTGACTTCAATGTGCTGCACCCAAATCGAAAGAAATGAAGATTTAAGGGTGATACACTTAACATTTTCTTTACACTTCACTTTCTTAGGTAAGCACTTACCAAGAAATCTACTAAAATTAAAATACAATTAGTCAAGAAACAAAAGTACTTTATTCATATACCATGTTGAAAAAATTGTCGCGGGAGGCTCGTTGTAGTAAGAGTTATATGGACACAAGACATATTTCGTATAAGTACTCCCAGAAAAACAAAATGGAGCTTAGTGTTACCTTATCAATTTTAAGTTTGTTAAAAACATCCTGCAGTACTTTGTAGTTCTGGATCATATCATATTCCGTCTTAGCGTCAAAGTTCACCTATGGAAGTTCACATTGCAAGAAACACCACAGCATCAAAGAATGCATATACCAGGAAAGAAAATAAATAAATCCGAGAACAAGGTTCTCACTTTATGGATCGGAACAACTCCTGGATGGGTCATGTCCATCATCTGACATTGCACAGCACCAGAGGCAGCCTGGCATAGCATGTCTACGATTAGAGTGCTTGGCTCATGTTATGGGAGAAAAATCATGCACAGTTCTTGGTAAAAACATAAGTGCATAACATATGACATCAAATGAAAACATTCAAGGAAAAAGGTTGCTAAATGTTTAACTTTATTTTGTGAATCAATTTCTGAAAAAACCAACTAAAGACCTTTGAATTTTGAGTTAGTAACACTCTTCAGAATAGAAAGACAGCTGTTTATCGTGGACTTCGACAGAGTCAGAGCATTCTTGCTTTGATAGAATGAGATTGATAGAATGAGATTATACATTGTGCAGCCGTAAAAATAAGTAGTAGTTCAACCATCTCGACCATCAAATCCTCCATCAGCCACAACTCAATCATCATCAATGGACCTATATCCCAATCCCACATTAATGGCCATACCACACTAGCACTGTCAAAGACCAACATTTGTTGTTTTATAACTACTGGCAACTTAGGTTTAAGCATTTTGGCAACTATTTAGCCATCCATCAAAATGAAAACCAAATCCTGCTTTTTCCTCTTGCTTCTTGGGGCTCGGACAAAACTTACTCGCAGAAATTAATAATTCCAAAAAAAAAAAATTCTGATATTAGTAATAAATCTCTATTTTTTTGCAAAAACAGTAAACACGCCAGAGACTGACAGAACACTAGTAAATAATTCTGCAACGTAATATAAATAACTTGAATGCAACGAAAGGCATATTTGTTTAGTTGAGAAATTAATTCTTATTTAAACAACATAAAATTGTTTTCTTCGAATAACTATTCGGTAATCAGTATGTGCAAATCCAGTATTTCTGTTAGTTGCAAATTCGGTACATGTCAATCCGGTATTTGTTACGGTCACTAATATTTTTGTTCTAACATAATCCAAAGCACAAAAAAAGCAATTTATATCCCAAAATTTCAGGGAAATAAATATACCCATAAATTCAGGAAGATATCTTCAAAAGAAGAAAAAGAAAAATTCAATGGATGCGTATTATTTAATGTCAAGAATTGGGCAAAAACAGATTTTTACCTCTTCAACACGAGAGAGATTAAGCTGAAGCCTTGCATTGATCCATGTAAGAATCTCATTCCTCCCGACAAAGTAAGCGCCATCCATCATCCCAATATTTGATGCCATTTCTTGAAAAATCACAACAAGTATCAAAATAAATTCTTCTTCTTCACCAATTCTTTCAAAATTCTTTCAACGTTCATATGCATTTGTGCATAATAGTTGTATCCGTTTAAATAGATGGGGGGAGAGAGAGGGAGCGGAAAGTTTGGATTTTTGTATTTCAAATTTTTGGTTGTTATATTAGTTTAAAGTCAATGATGAATTGAATGGTGAAGAATTGATATTTATTTGGGTATTTTCCTTTTTTATATAAAACAATGAATGGTCCAAGAATTGTACGTGGAAAATGAAAGCAACGAAAAATTGCCTTCTATATTCCTGATTTTTTAATTCACAATTTCGCATTTCATTTTCACTTTTCCATATGAACTGTTAGTAGTAAAAGCTTAGACAGTTAAAGAATAGAGTAATGCAACATAATGATGATATGAAAAAGACAGAGATATAAATAAAGATGAAAGGGAAAGAAATTTAATAATTTTAATCTTTTTTTCATTTTCTATGTCATCTATCTGTTCTATAATTTTAAAAGGGATTATGAGTGTGTATAATTAGATTATTGTCCAGAGAAAATGTTGTTTTTATATTAATGACTTTCACAACTATTAAACGTTTATATAGAATGTGTTATAAATTAGGAGGCTGTTTGGTAGCCATTTTTGTCTGCCCAAAATTAATTAATTGAACGTTGCCACCCACTTGTCTGACATTGTACAGTTGGTAAAATTTCTTTTTCCCTCAAATGCCCCTCTCACGACACTTTCCTTCTCCCACATTCATCTTCCAAACCGGCAAGAGAGAACCCAAAACACTGGCCAAATATTTCAACATTTGTCGTTGTCGACTTTCACCTTCCCACACGTGAACAGTGATAAAAGGAAGAAACTAGAGAAGTCGATAGAATTGTATGTGTTTTATATGAGAACCAAAACTCCATATTTATAGGGGAAGATTATGGATATACTAGTTATAATTTTTAGGTCATATTTGCCATTCAGTAATGAACTTATCATTTATAACACTTCTTTTTGAATAACGCATAACAAAATATCTACCTCATTAAAATCTTATTTGATAAAAATTCTATTGTACAAAAAGTCAAACGAAGAAAAAAGACTACTGCTACTTTGGAGTATAAAAAATAAATATTGCATTATTAAAACCTTACCAAAAAATTCAGTGGAATAAAATCTAAATGAAGGAGAGAGTATAACTGCCTCCGTGACATTGATCACTGAAAATCTTCAAGTCGAAGCATTTCAATCTAGTAAACCAACTTCTTAAATGTAAATGTTGGCAGCACTTTGGTAAATCAATCAGTTACATGGTCACTTGAGTGAATTTATTAAACATCGTTGTAATCATTCTTCCAAAACTCATGTATATGAAAGAATTTTAGAGAAATATTCATGGTCTTGTCACGTTCGATATAGTCTCATTTGAGTTGTGCAATACAATTCGTATTGTTTTCATACAAAATCGTTAGACTATCTTTTGTTTAAGTTAATCTGCGTGATATTTGGATACGATGAGTCATGTTCTTCAACCATGTATGTTCTCGACTTGCTTCATGGATAGTAATAATTTGAAAATATTGTTGTCAAGATTTGTTTCCCAAATATCCATGATATATTTGTTCCTCCACTTCTAAACACATATTCTATTTGTAATTTAGATTTATGTGGATCAAAGAAATATCTGCAACTATATATCCCACTTAAGTTGATCCTGACTTTTGAGAATGAAACAATCATAAATCAATAGTACCTTCAGTGACGAAAATGGCGTTTAATACCATTCCATTGTCTTTTGGTTGATATAGAGCTATATCTTGCAAGGAAATTTACAGAAAAAGTTATGTTGAATCGAATGCAATTTGCGTGATAGGTTAATGCTCCAATTGCACTAAGATATGGTACTCTAGAAATCGTAATCTTTTTTCTTTTTCAAGTGAACGAAATGGATCTTTTTCACATACTGTGATCAAAACAATCATAGGTGATATCAATGAATGTGCATTATCCATGCAACGACGTTTTAAGACTTTTCTATATATATAGATTGATGTATAAATAATCCTTATGGGAAATATTCAATATGTAATTGGGTTTTTCCCAAATATTTCATCTCAAATTCATTTTTTTAAATAATTTGTAATTTTGTTTAGCTTTCCAAGAATTTCAATTCAATTTAAATCTTCAACATGAAAGACCACTACAAATTCAATATTTGTTTTCTTTATAAAAAAAACATGGGCAGACATCATCATTTTTGTAATCATCTTTCAAGAAATTTTGCTAAGGCGATTATACCACATGCGTCCAGATTATTTCAATACATATAACAATCTTTACAAGTTAATTGAAAACATAATTCTCGAACATGTATCATCTATTCTTGGCACTTTAAGTACTTCGAGAAGTTTCATATATATGTGACTATTGACGTCAAAAATTGTAATCATAATTCTTGGCCAACTTTAAAAGAAGAAAAGATGTATTTATTGATAATTGCCTCGAAAACCAAGTACATAATCATTTCACAATGAGATTTGTAGAAAAATGAGAGTGTATTATAATAAGTCTTGAGGTAAGCCGAACTCTGCTTTGGAGGGGACCGTTTGCCATTATTTATAGGGAGAATGAACTCCTTATTGGTCGACTCAAGTTTTCTCAATCAAATCAGCTACCGTGTTGAGTAGGGAAACGTGTAGTGATATTGTTTCTGATTGACTATTAAAGTTAGCTACTATCAGGTCATCATGATGTCGACCATACTGCATTATTAGAAAATGATAAGTTGATATCGGATAAGGAGCTCCTGCAATTGATTGGTGGAAAAGGAAATGCTGGCATCATTTTTATTAGATGTCCTTCATTGATTGGTAAGCTAGGTGGCTTATCAATATCAAGTGAATCATACAAATAGGCAGTTACTATGCTTATAAGGCGCATGTCGAGGCTTTATGACACGACCAAATTAATTAAGAATTTGAAAGTAATAGTGTCCACTAAGGAAGAATATGTTTCCTCGTGATCAATTCTAGGTCTTTGTGAAAAGTTTGGAGCTACAAGTCAGGTTTTGTATGTTGTAATCACATTATTTTCATTTCTCTTCCGTACAAAAATCATTTTGTATCTTACGAAGATTACATTTTTCAGGTATTCGGACTGCAAGTCTAAATACTTTTTCCTTTTTTTAAGGAATTCGAATATGCCTGTTTGGCTTCTTTTCATTTTAGCTAATCATTTCTATGTTGACAGTCTCTAATAGACCGTGGTTCAGAATTCTCATTTTACATAATATCAAGGCCATGTTATAATAATATTATTTTGTTCTCACAATTTATTATATAACATATAATTTATTGAAATTTCATTATTTTCGAATATTGTGATTCTTAAGAACCATATTTTAAATATTGATTGATCATTTCTAATATTACTTCTTTCAAAGTTTTGGTTGATTTTTCTTTTGTACTTTTCTTTTTTGAGTTATAAAACCTTTTCAATCAACTAGTCGATCGCTCTTCTGGTATATTTGAGACTTATTTGCTATAACAGATTGTCCTATATGGATGTCAATTTTTGTTAGAATATTTTCTACTAATGTGTATACCTTTGTCTGTTTTCCTGTGTCGATAAATATATCTGATAATTGATTTGCAATTCTTTACAAATGAAATTTTTTTCAACCTCTTACTCAAATTGATTGCTATGGGGATTAAAGTAAGATAGAGTTATTTTATTTCAAAAAATTTTATCATATTTTTCAAGATGTGATTTTAATCCTCCCAAAGTTGTGAAAGTCATTTCATCAAAATGACAGTATGGAAAATGTATAATAAATATATCATTTGTTAAAGGTTCAAAATACCTTATAAGAAATATTAAATCAAAACTAACATAAATTCCAAATCTTTATTGGGGACCCGTTTTAGCATGTTAAGGGGAGTGAAATATGGACTTGTGTAGTACAACCAAAAACATTTAACTGAAAAATATTATGTTCATGACCAAGTGCTAACAGGTTTTGCTTTTGAATTCAAAACTTACTCAAATTGGATCCTTTCCATTTCTACTCTAATAGATTCGAACAAATTAAATAAGTACATTAAGATGCGAATTTCTCCTTTTGCTCCTTAGCCTACGTTGTATTAGTAGTCGTTTCCAGCTTGCGTCAGTATCTCAATTTAAATTTAAATATGGGTTTTTGATTGACACTCAAGAAATATTAGGTTTATTGTTCACGAAATAATTCTTTCGATTTAAAATTACCGCAAGTGTACAGTTCGTAACAAGTAATAAAGTGGATTTTAAAAAGTCCGAATATCGTCCCTCAGAGATTAAGTCGTTCAATTCTATATAATCTAGTCTTAATCGAATCTAATTGAGTGAAAATATTGTCAAAATGCAAAAAGCCCTAATTTCAATTAAAAACCCTAATTTCAACTAAAAACCCTAATTTCAACTAAAAACCCTAATTTCTCAATTAGAAACCTTAATTTCGAAATTTCTGTAATTAAATGACTCAAACACTCAAGTAAATGAAATTATGCAAATTCAAAAGCTAATTTATGGAAATGAATCAAACTAAAGTCACTAGGATCACGAATCCCCAATTGAAATTGTAAAAACCCTAATTTCATAAAATTAATGACCCGATGAAAATTTGCCAATTCAATATTCCTAATTCTATCCAATATATTCTCTCGATATATATTAGACCTATTCTTGCACACCACCAGCCTATATCTCTATGGATGATGCAAATATACAAAAATGCATGTGGTTTTGTGAACAATTAAAGAATTGCATAAAGTATATGGGTATATCTCTATCCCCTATCAGACCCTATGTTGATTTACACCTTATCGAACCTATTCCACTTCTCTCGAATGTAAGAAACAAGTCATCAACGCTCACACAATCATTGGCCACTAATTGTGGAAGAAAATTAATGCATATAAACCAATCAAATTATCCAAACGAGTCTTTATATTAAATTCATGAAATATGGAATTAAAATAACAAACAATGGTTCATCGGTCACCTAGTAATTGAAAACATATCCTAGAAGATTCATAATTACAGAAAAAAATGAAATTAATAAATAGAAAGAATAGCACCCGTATGAAAATTCTTGAAATCTTGAATAAAACCTTGAAAACCCGCTTGAATTCTTGTGAAGTCGGCTTCAAGTTCGT